AGCCTCAGCGGCCTCTGGCAGCAGTCGCAGCGCCAGCCGCAGCGCGGCAACCCGACGGGCACGGGCTTCGACGTCCCCGGCGCCTACGGCGACGGCAGCGGCCAGTACCGCCCCGCCTACGGCCAGCCGCCGGCGGCGGCGCCCGTGCGCGGCGCCCAGGGCTCGCTGTCGCGGTCGTCGTCCGCGCAGGCGGCGCCGCCGCCGGCGGCGCCGCCGGCGGCCGCGGCCGACGCGTTCGCCGCGCCGTCGCCGGGCTTCTTCGACAGCGGCTCCATCTGGTCCGCGTCCTACGCCGCCCGCGGCGACGGCTGGGGCGCGCCCGCGCCCGCGCCCCAGTACGGCCGCGAGCCGCCGCGCGCCTACGGCTACCAGGAGCGCTCCGGCTACGGCGCCAACGACCTCGCGGCCATGGCCGCGTCGGCGCTGGGCCCCGGCGGCGCCTACGGCGCCGACGCGCTCGCCGCGGACACGGCCGCGCTCAACCTGCTCTCGGGCGTCGACCGCGGCGCGGCCGGCTACGGCGAGCAGCGCACCGAGTACGACTGGAACGGCCAGCCCGTGTCCAACTACCAGCAGCCGCGCCACTACTGAGCCCTCCACGACGCGCGAGGCGCGAGTGCGGGACCCCACGGAGACGCGAGTTCGCACGCGACATCCGCGATACGCGTTCCTCCGCCCGCCCGCGCCCCGCCGGGACCCGCCGAGCGCGCGCCCGGGGGGAACTCGTTCCCCTCGGATGCCATTTTGCTCGGCCCCGGCGGCCGCGACGCCGGCCGCGACGCTCGCCGGCCGCTCGGCGCCCCCGCGCGACCTGCGAAGGTCCCGGGCGCCGGCGGCCGGCCGCTCGCCGCCCCGTCGCGGACTGGCCACCCGCCACGCGCCGCATGGAGGCCACCGCCGCACGTCTCGTGCGGCACCCAGACAAAAACATCACACAAAAAAATGCCGCCCCGCGGCCCCGTCTCTAAGACACTGATTCTAGATGGGACGGCCGCCAAGACGCCGCCCCGCGGCCCCGTCTCTAAGACACGCCGCCGGCCCGGCGGATTCTAGATAAGGCGCCCTTAGTTCGCGAGGACGCGCGGCCCGCTCCCGCTCCGCCGGCGGCTCAGGTCGCTCGTCGACGTGCGCCGCGCGCCGCCGAGGCCGCCCGTCGAATGCGCCGCGTCGAGGGACGGCGGCGCGAGCTTGTCCTCCTCCTCGGCGATGCGGCCGAGCTGCGTCATGTCGCCCGTGGACTTGTAGGGCCGCATGGACTGCTTGCGCTTGGCGATGGCGTGCGCGCCCTTGTCCTCGAGGAGCGCCGCGCGGTAGGCGCCCTTCTTGTCGTCGGGGACGAGGTCGCCGAGGTCGAGGCTCACGAACTCCGCGTCGGCGTCGTCGACGAGGTCGCTGTGCGCGATGGTCTTGGCGAGGAGCGTCGACACGAAGGTGCCCTGCGCGTCCTGGACGTCGCGCGGCGGGCCGCGCGCGACGGACACGACGTGGCCGCCCTCCATGACCTCGCCGCGGACGCGCCAGTCGTCGAGGACGGCGCCGTCGACGGACACCGTCGACTCGAAGCTCCGGCGGCCGCTGCGCAGGGGGTCCTCCAGGTCCGCGACGTCGACGTGGATGCGCTCGAACTTGAAGCCGAGGCCGTCGCCGCGCGCCTTCGTGAACGCCTCCTTGCCGCTCCAGAGGCACCGGAACCGCAGGCCCCGGTCCCTGGGCGCCGCGGCCTGGACCCAGGCCCACTCGCCCGCCGTCAGCGACTCGCGCATGTGGCTCAGGTCCTCCTCGACGCACGTCGCTTCTAAAGCGGCTAAATCGGTGATCGACGCGTTCGGCCGCCGGCACTTGCCGCGGGGCCGCATGTCGTTGCGCGCCTTGTCCGGCGCCGCGACGTCGATGCCGACGACGGCGCGGGGCTCGGCGGCGAGGACGACGTAGCGGCCGTCGTGGGACACGTTGAAGTTGAAATTCGGGCACCGCGCGCCGTTCTTCGCCGCGCGCTTCGCGCGCGCGGCGAGGTAGGGCTTGCGGCCCTTGGTCCGCTCGACCTCGACGGCGCCGTGGTCCACGTCGAGGCACACCTCGCAGGCGCGGCGCACGAGCAGCCGGCTCGCGAGCGCGCGCGCGCGGTCGATCCAGTGCACGAACTGGAGCACCTTGGCCCGCTCGTCCGGCTCCGAAATTAACGATAAGAGCAGCGTCCACTCCGCGCCCGCGTCCTTGAGCGGCGGCCGCCAGGCGTCCACGTCCACGCGCCAGCGCGCGCGGCCCGCGCCGCCGCCGGTCTCTCGCCACCGCGCGTCCCGGAGGCACTTGCGCGACACGAAGCCCCGCTTGCCCGCGCGCTCGTCGCGCCACGCGACGCGCCGCGTGCCGCAGGGCGCCACGTGGCCCAGGTCCCGCGCGCCGACGCAGCGGAACGTGTCGCCCCGGTTCAGCGTCACGCCGACGGCCCGCGAGTCGAGGCCCACGGCCTCGCGGACGAGCGCTCCCTTCGTGAAGACCTCCATGACGACGACGGCCGTCGCCGCGCCCTCGGGCGTACCCGGCCGGTCGCAGGCGCAGGGGTCCGATGTGGCCTCGTCCTTGAGCTCCTCGACGTAGGACGGGTCCTCCTCCTCCGGCGACTCCTCGACGGCGCCGACGAGGGCGTCGTAGAAGGACGACAGGAAGTCCGTCATCGTATATGGTGGCGTGCGCGGCGCGGCGCGGCGGTGCGCGGTGTCTTGCCCGAGACTTCCTGCGCTGCTGCTGCGGCGCAGACGCGCCCCGGCGGGCTCGGGCGCGGCAGCCACGCACGGGATCCGGTCCGGAACGTCGAGGCTGGCGTGATCCCCCTCGATCGAAAGGAAACACGAAGTGGCAATAAATGCTGTCGGATCACCTTCTTCTTTACCCACGTCTCGATGGACCTAGCAGCAGCCCCCTTCTAGCAGAGCAGCTATCGCGCAGATACGCCTGAGCCCATGTTTACCGGTTGCACTCGCTCGAAACATCGAGCACGTTTTCGAGCGTGCGATGGAGAATCCATCAGCTTCTCAGGCCCACAGCCCAGCCATAATGCAACGACGTACCACGATCCCAGTGGCTTTGTTGACCGCGCGCGTACGGACGAGGCAACGGCGAAAACTTGACATCGAGCCGATTCCGGGGCGACGCGAACGAGAGGTTTTATGGGCTGGGATGGGGCGCGTTCGGCTTCCCCGACCCCTTCGAGCTAGATTTGAGCTCTCGCAGCACCAGAGATCGTTCATCGTCACCCACGCATCGCCTCGGTGCAAGGGTTAGGTCGCGGGGCTCGATATGGTCGAGCTCGTCTGGTCGGGTTCGGGCGCCGCCGCGGCCCGCAGCGGCTCCCGTTACCGTCGAAACAAGGACGAGATCGCTGGACCTAAAGCTTGGCGCCCCTCGGGGCACCGGTTCCGAGGCCGGAACCGCCTTTAGGTCCAGCTGAAAGACTCTGTCTCGACCATACTCGGGCGGTGCGTCCCCGCCGCCGCCCGTCAACTCCTCTCGAACGCGGCCCATCGGCAAGCTCTCCCGTGGACAAAATCGGTGGCGCGGCACGAGACACCGGATCCGATGCCGAAACGCGTAATTTGTCCACCGCTCAGAGGGTTCCTGGACCGCACGGGGGCTGCCATGCCGCCCTCTGGAGAATTGGCGTCTCAGACGAAATTATCAAGGGGTAATAAATAGTAGATTTATATATATACTAGATTTATATCCCCTTGAAATTATCGGCGCGAAGCGGCAACCGGGCTGCTTCATGCTCTGCACGACCAGCTAAAAAGTATCTGCGCGCGATAGCAGCCCGGCCTCCTTCAAGAGCTAGCTCTAAAGCATGCTGCGCGTAAAAGGTTCCAAAGGCCTCCTCGTCCGCGAGGGCCGCGCGCTCACGTCCCCGGAGCGGGCGACGCTGGCCTGCGGCGCGCTCGTGCACGTCGTCGAGACGCGGGCCACGGTCCTCGGCGACGCGCGCTGCCGCCTCGCGTCCGGCGGCTGGTGCAGCCGCAAGCTCCTCGAGCCCGCCGAGGACGCCGAGGCGCCGCCGGCGCCGCCGCCGGGCGGCGTCCCCGCGGGCGCGGGCGCCGCCGTCGACGGCGCGCACGGCGACGCGCAGGTCGACGACTGCGCGTGCTTCGAGGGCCTCGTCGTCTCCGGCGGCTGGGACGGCGCCGTCCGCGTCGCCGACGGCGACGCCGTGGAGACCTTGCGCCACGAGACGCGCGCCTGGGTCTACAGCGTCGACGCGTTCCGCGACGGCCGCGGCGCGCTCGCTATAATCAGCGGCCACACGGGCGGCATGACGGGCGACTCCGAGTCGAACCTGCGCCTCTGGCGCGTCGCGGGCCGGGGCGCCAAGCGCCGCTGGGAGGCGGCGTGCCTCGGGGGCCACACGCGGGGCTGCCACGCGGTCTGTGGCGGCGGCGGCCGCGCGTGCTCCGCGTCGTCGGACCTCCTCCAGCTCTGGGCCGTGGGCGACGAAATCACATCAACCGCCTCCGTGGCGAAGCCGAGCGGCGGCGACGTCAACGCGCTGCTCCTGGACGGCGACGCGCTCGTCAGCGGCTCGACGCACCCGTCGCTCAAAATATGGGACCTGGCGACGCTCGCGTGCGCGCGCGCCGAGGACGGCATGGGCCCCGTCGAGGCCGTCGCGCGCTGGGACCGCGACGTCTACGCCGTCGCGAGCCACACGGGCTGCTTTCTCTGGGACGCGCGGGCGTCGATGGCGCGCGTCTCGGAGAAAGCGCACGTGTGCTGGGGCGCGGCCGTCGCGCGGGGCCTCGTCTGCCACGGCGGCGCGGGCGACGGCCTCGTCTTCCACGACGTCGCCGCGGGCAAGCCCCGCGAGACGAAGGACGCGGGGTTTTTGGTCAAGTGCGTCGGCTTCGACGGCTCGAGCTGCGTCTGCGGCTCCGGCGCCGGGGCGCTCCGCGTCTGGGCGTCCTAAGGCCTGTCCTAGCACAGGGGTCTCTTAATCTTGGGGGGCGCAACGCGCCCTACGCCTTCTTCGCCTTCTTCTTGGGCTGCTCGTCGTTGGCGACGGCGGAGTCCTGGCCCTGGCCGATGACGACGTCGATGATGGACGTGAGGTCCGCCTTCTTCTTGACGGCCATCGTCGTCTTCTTGGCTTTGTCGACGCCGAAGGTCGCGTCGAGGCGGAGGAGCGTGGACCGCGTGCCCATGGCCGTGAGCGCGCCGCCGGGCGCGCAGCCCTTGTAGCCGACCATGGCCCAGGCCGCGCGGTACTCGATCTTGGGCATGTCCTCGGGCGCGCCGAGGAGCTGGAGCGCGGAATAGACGGCGCCGCCGAGGGGCCGCGACGCCGCGCAGGCCGTGTCCGCGATGCCGAGGATCACGGGCGTGCCCGGCTTCATGGCCTTGACGCGCTTCGAGAAGTCGGCCGTGGCCTTGTCGCGCTTGTTGTAGAAGTCGACGCGCTTGTGGTCCGCGAGGGCCAGCGCGCCGGTCCCGTCGATTGTGAGTTCCGCGCACCAGATGCCCACGGAGTTGGGCGTCAACTCCAGCTTCTCGACGCCGGCCGCGCCGCGGAACGCCATCCAGCCGCCTCCGCGCTCCGCCTGGCGGCCGTAGCACTCGACGGCGACGTCGCCGGCGCCCGCCAGGGCCGCCTCGACGGCGTTGCCCGCGTTGCGCTTCTTGAGCTCCTCGCGGAACTTGTCGTTGTGCTCGTCCGTGAGGTAGGACCGCTCGATGCGGAAGCGCGAGAAGAACTCCAAATCCTTGCCGTCGGACCGCGCGGCGTTGAAGCCCATGCCCTTGAGCATCTTGACGACGGGCGCCTCGAGCTTGTTGTACTGGCCGTGGGCGAAGGCGATGAAGGAGATGCGCTCGCCCTTGAAGGGCCGCGTCGCGTGCTCCTTGTTGCCGTCGAAGAGCTTCCAGGCGTCCTTGCAGTCGATGACCCCCTGGTCCGCCGTCCACAGGCCGCCGCCGCTGTGGTCGCCGATGGACATGATGTAGGACGGGCCGATGTTGTTGCCGTCGACGTGCTTCTGCGCCGCGTAGTTGTAGTTGACCTGGAGGCTCGAGAAGGGGAACTCCGCGCCCTTGCGCGTCCGCGGCAGCGTGCCCCGGCACCAGCGCGTGAGCACGCGCGTCATCTGTGGGTGGCACTCGGACACGTGGCTCGCCTGCGCGCCCTGGCCGAGCGCGAAGACGAGGCCCACGCACATGCCGGGCACGGGCTTGCCCGTGTCGGTGACGTTCGGCCGCGCCTGCGTGGGCCAGTTGCCGTCGCCGATGAGGCGCAGCATGGTCAGGACCTCGCCGTTGCTCGGCACGTCGCCCTTGGCGTGGGCGGCGAGCCAGTCGGCGGCCCATTTCTCCACCTTGGCCAAAACCGCCCGCGTCTCCTTCGACGACTGGTACTTGGGCGGCGCGGCGTCGTTGGCCATGGCGCTTGTTTTTGCGGTTGGTGCGACTGGGTGTGCTGTCGCGAGTGCGATGCGCGTGTTCCTGGCGCTGCTGCTGTTGCGGAGCAGGGCGGCAAAGGGCGCCGGATTAGCTCTCCAGATCGCGCGCGAATTTCGAGCTCGCTTCGGCTTCAAGATCGCTGCAAGGTGGAGCTCTTGCAAAAAACATCTGAAATTGGCAGCCCGCGGCCTTTTCCGACTCCCTCGTCGTCGAGTGGCCCCCGTCTTCCACGGTCGAGCCCTTCCCCCCTTCGCGCCGCTTCCCCACGGACCTCGCTCGACCATGAGCACGCAGCTCGAGGCGTGGTGCGGCCACCTCTGCCGCATCAAGGCGAACACGGGCGCCATCGTGCGCGCGACGCACGAGCTCGACAGCCCCGTCGTCGGGGAGCTCAAGTGCGGCGTCAACGTGCGCGTCTGGGAGAGCGGCTTCAGCAAGGGCAAGGACGGCAAGACGTGGACGGGCCGCTGCAAGGTCATGCACCCCCACGAGGGCTGGATCTCGGCGAAGACGCTCCACCTCCTGCCGCAGGGCATCAACGGCCGGCCCGTGCCGCGCGCCAACGACCTCGACGCCAACTTCGAGATGATCCCCGTCAAGGTCGAGAAGCAGGAGGGCCCGCCCAAGACCTTCGTGCCCGCGTCCATCAAGGTCGTCATCCTCCGTTTGCCGGAGGACGAGAAGAACGGCCCGACGAAGTTCAACGCGGGCCTCGCGCACGGCCAGTCGACGCTCACGACGGAGAGGGAAGCGAGGACGAACAACGAGCTCTACGGCTGGGTCAAGGACAAGCACGGCGCCACCATGCCCCAGCCCGAGGCGCGCCTCTCCTTCCACGGCTTCGCGTCGCGCGCGCTGCCCCCGGGCTCCCTCGAGAAGCAGCTCGCCTCCTAGGCGGGCGCGGAACGCGCCCGAAGGCTCCGTGCGCGCGCGCTCGTAACTTGACGACAAGGTTCCACGCGCGCGCGCGCTCACAACTTGACGACGTCCCGCCGGCTCCAGCCGAGGGCCGCGAGCGTGCCCGCGACCTTGGGGTCGCCGCGCGGGCCGCACAGCGTCTCGTAGACGCGCGGCAGGCCGCAGACGAGCGTGAGGCTGTCCTCGCCCGGCGGCGCGAGGTGGCGCTCCAGGACGTCCTTCGTGATCCACCCCTTCTCGCGCTTCGGCGCGCCGCCGAAGAGCGCGTACCTGTTCCTCACCTCGGGCCGGTCCTTGTCGACGTCGTAGCGCGACCCGAGGCAGTAGACGAGCTTGAAGCGCCGCGCGTAGCGCCACGTGAGCTGCTCGAGGCGCTTCTTCATCATGATCTCGTCCTCGGACCGGTTCCCGTAGACGAGGACGATTCGCGTGTCGTCGCCGGGCGTCGCCAGCACCTTCTCGAGGATCTGGATCATGGGCGCCACGCCGGACCCGACGCAGACGAGGTTGAGCCGCTTCGCGCCGCGGAACGGGTACCGAATCTTTATGTTTTTGGCGACGTGGCGAAACTCGACCTCGTCGCCCACCTGTAACCGGTGCAGCGCCGACGACACGAGGCCCGGCGGCTTGTAGGTCTTCGGGTAGCGCTCGTCGCCCCAGGCGTCGTAGCGCCGCACGAGGAGCTGGAACCGGCCCGGCAGGTCCTCCGGCGACACGGGCGTGTAGCTCCGCTCCTCGAAGCCCTCGTCGGCCTCCTCCCGCTTCGCCGCCGCCTCGCGCTCCTCGGCGGTCACGGCGGCCTGAAGCTCGAGGAGGACCGGGTCGTCCTCGTCCGCGCGGAGCGGCCACTCGACGGTCTCGCGGAGGCTCTTCGGCCGCCTCACGCGCGCGCAGACGCAGGAGCTCGTCGGCAGGTTGAGGGTCGCGGCGCCGGGCGGCAGGCCGAACTCGAGGATCGCCGAGTTCGGCGTGTGGTAACTCTTCCGCAGCAGCGGCAGCTTCGTCCACGTCGTCGACAGGGCGCACGACGACACGTGCCACTCCTGGCCCGTCTCGCGCAGGTAGTCGCCGAGCGTGAAGCTGCTGCTCTTCGTGAAGGAGCACGAGCCCGCGCAGCCGGCCACGGACGGCGACGCGAGGCGGAGCGTGTATGCGAGCGCTTCCATGGATCCTCAGGGGCTGTCCATCGTTCTAAACTCTGCAACCACAGGTAAACGAGGAAAAAACGGACAAGTTGAAGGCCTCTCCGCGGCCATCGGCCTATGCAGCCCGAACCGTAAAGGATGGCGAGCCCGATGAAGAAGATGCCCGCCGAGGGCAAGGAGTTCGCCGCGCCGGACTACGCGGACCTGCAGCACGCGCTCTGCGGCCTCTACACGCGCGAGGTCGCGCCCGTGGAGGCCCAGCTCAAGTACGGCACGGTGGGCACGGCGAGCTACACGGCGGCCGAGTTCGGCGCCAAGCCCGTGGTCTTCATCCTGGGCCAGTACTCCGTCGGTAAGACGACCTTCATCCGGACCCTGCTCGGCAAGGACTTCCCCTCCATGCAGATCGGTCCCGAGCCGACGACGGACTGCTTCATGGCCATCGAGAAGGGCGTCTCGGACCGCAACGTGCCCGGGTCGGCGGCGACGGCGGACACGACGCGGCCCTGGGGCGCCCTCGGGAACTTCGGCGCGGCGTTCCAGGCCAAGTTCTCCGTGACGTCCGTCGCGGGCGCGTCGCTCCTCGACGACCTGATCCTCGTGGACTCGCCGGGCGTCCTCGCGGGCGAGAAGCAGAAGCAGGCGGGCCGCCACTACGACTTCGTCGAGGTCGCGGCCCACTTCGCGGAGCGGGCGGACCTCATCTTGGTGCTCGTCGACGCGCACAAGCTCGACCTCAGCGACGAGTTCACGAACGTGCTCCGGAGCATCCAGAAGCACGACGAGAAGATGCGCGTCGTCCTGAACAAGGCGGACCAGGTGTCGACGCAGGAGCTCATCCGCGTCACGACGGCCATGGCCTGGTCGCTGTCGCGGTGCCTGCGGACGCCCGAGGTCAAGCGCGTCTACGTGAGCAGCTTCTGGGACGAGCCCCTGAAGAACGAGCAGCTGAAGCCCTTCTTCGAGGCGGAGCGCGACGCGCTGCTGGCGGACCTGCGCGCGCTGCCGACGGGCCAGCTCCAGCGGCGCACGAACGAGGTGCTGCGGCGCGTCGCCGCCGTCAAGGCCCACGCGATGATCCTCGAGGGCATCCGGAAGCGCGTGCCCTACATCGGCCAGGAGGCGTGGGCGAAGAGCTGCGCGGACGGCGCGGCGCTGCCCGACATCTGGCAGGCCATCGCCCGGGACAACGAGGTGAGCCTGTGGACCCTGCCGCCGCCGGAGGCCTACGCGGCGGCCATCGCGAGCGGCAAGCTCGACGTGCTCAAGCTGCCGCAGACGAAGCAGGCGCTCGCGGCGCTGGCCGCGGCCGCGGACGACCACGTGCCCCACGCGCAGCGCTACTTCCGCGGGGACCTGGAGGAGCTGCCCGAGGAGGCGCCCCACGTCGTCAAGAGCTTCCTCTTCAAGCTCGACGGCAAGCACAAGTTCAAGATCACGTCCGCGGGCTACAAGAAGCGGTGGTTCGTCCTCGACTCGGGCACGCTCAGGTACTACCACGCGCGCAACGACGTCGGCAACGACACGAACCCGGGCGGGGAGCTGAACCTGCTCGGCGGCTCCGTGGCGGCGCTGCCCGACAGCGACCGGTCCTTCGTGTTCTCGGTGAACGGTCCAAACCTCGATCGCGCGTACGTCTTCGCCGCGGAGAGCGCCGAGGACATGGCGACCTGGATCAAGCAGATCCGCGCCCACGCGTCGGGCCGCGCCCAGCTCCCGACGGCGACGCCCGTGCCGACCACGCCCCCGCCGCCGCCGGAGCCCGTCGCCGCGGAGCTCGTCGACGACGACGACGACGCGACGGCGCCGGCGGACGCCGGCGAAGTGCGGATGAGCATCTCCGACCCGGGGCCCGCGCGCGAGACGACGGTCGACGGGCTCATCGTCTGAGAGCGGCGTAAGGAGGAGGCTAGCTTGGACCCCGTGCGCCAAAGCACGCGTGTTGAATGCGCAACTTGAACTCGTGTTGCACAGGTCTCGTAGCCACTTAAGCGTGCACTTAAGTAGCGACGCGTGTTGAACGCCTACTTGAACTCGTGTTGCACATGTACAGGTCTCGGATGGCATGGGCTGCCCTCGAGATCGAGTAGCTGCTGAACACGAGTGAGGCTGCGTTCCTTTGCAACATGCTCCAGCGCTATGTCGCCGCGCTCAAGAGCCATCCCTACACGACCAACAGCGCTTCAGGCTTCGTCGTGTGCGCCTGCGGCGACGCGCTGACCCAGGCCTATGAAGGCGTCGACGACCGCCGGCGCACAGCGAAGCTCGCGGCCTGGGGCGCCGGGTGGACGGGCCCGGCCGGAGTCGTGTGGTACGGCGTCCTCAATGCTCTCTCCGGCGGCATCGGGAAGAAGCTGGCCGTGAACCAATTAATCTTCGCGCCGGTGAACAACGCGCTGTTCTACTTCTACAACGAGGCGCTCGCGCCGGCGGCGGCGGAACCGCTGCTCGACCGCTACTCGAGGCGCATGGCCAACGAGTTCCTGCCGACGATGGCGACGAGCGTCGTCTGCTGGGTGCCGACGCAGGCCTTCAACTTGTCGATGGTCCCGCTCCACTTCAGGCCGCTCTTCCTCAACACGGCCTTCATTTTCTGGACGGCCTACCGGTCGTTCCGCGGGCATCGGAAGTACGACGAGACCTAGAATTGTAATCTGCCGTCGTCCGAGAGCTTACTTCGGGACTTCAGTCGCGGGTCCGTCGATCACGCGGCCGCGGCCGCGAGGAGGCTCAGCGCGTCGGTTCGCGGCTCCGTCGTCCGGCAGAGGGGGCACACGAGGGGGGGCTTCTTCTTGCGCTTCTTCAGGGGCACGTTCTTGTGCTTGAAGGCGCTGTACTCGCGGAGGCACTTTTCGTGGATCGCGTGGCACGACCCGTGGCACGCGAGGAGCTTCGACGGCTTCGCGACGGGCTTCTCGCAGACGGGGCAATAAGGGTGCGCGGGCGCCGGCGCGGGCGCCGGGGCCTCCTCTTCCTCGTCGGAGGAGGAGGAAGCGTCGTCGTCGTCGTCGTCGGCTTCGCCGGGCTTGTGATAGGCCGGAAAAGAGGAAATGGGCCGCTGCCTGTTCCAGGGCTTGTGCGTCCGCGCGCGCTTTTTGATGGGCTCGAGGCTCGCGACCGCGGCTTCGACGTCCGAGATTTTGTACGTCCACACGTCGCGCGCCCAGGACCGCGGGCCGCGGCAATGCGTAGCGTCTTCCTGCGGCGGGCTCAACGCGAGCTGCCGCGGGATCCGCCGCACGCGGGGCTCGTTGAGCTTCTCGGGGTATTTTGCGATGGCACCGTTCTGAGTGATGCGCTCACCCCGCAGAACCTCGTCCCATCGGGCCTTTTTCTCGCTCTCCGTCGACTCTTCGTCTTCCTGAAGGCGATAGGAATTAGGCATGGCGGGGGGTCCGCTCACGCCGGGGCGACGGTCGCGGGGGTCCGCTCACGCCGGGGCGACGGTCACGGGGGTCCGCTCAGGCCGGGGCGACGGTCGCGGGGGTTCGCTCACGCCGGGGCGACGTCGCTCTGGCACTGACGGCTCTTGTGGATGACTTTGTGGATGCTCGCCAATCCTGGACGCGTCCGGACGCCTCTTCCGGGACGCCGTCCTCAAACGCCGTCCTCCAACGCCGTCCGCGCCGCCGCGCGCCTGCAGCCGCAGCGCGCAGGCCTTCCGCAGGCTAGGACAACGACGCGCGCGCCTTACTCAGTTGGGAACGGCGTCGGCCTCCGCGAGCCGGTCGACGAGGTCGGCCTTCTTGCCGCCGACCTTGAGGCCGCGGGCCTTGAGCAGCGCCTTGAGCTCGGGGACGGTCTGCTTCGCGTAGTCGTTCCCCGCCGGCGGCGCGGCCGGCGGCGGCGCGGGCTCGAAGAGGTCGAGGGGCTCGTCCGGGAGCGGCGCCGGCAGCTCCGGCCCGAGGCCGAGGATCGCGAGGAGCTCGTCGTCGTCGTCGTCGTCGCCGGCGCGCGGCGCGGGCAGGTCGCCCGCGGGCTCCGGCTCGTCGTCGAAGAGCGCGTCGAAGGCCGCGTCGTCGCCGAGGAAGTCCGCGAACGAATCGTCGGCCGCGCCGCCGCCGCCGCCGCCGCCGCCGCTCAGGAGCGACCGGAGGAGCGCGTCGTCGTCGGTCTCGGCGTCGCGGTGGCTCGCCTTCTTCGCCGGCGCCGGCGCCGGCGCGGCCTCGCTGCCCTCGGGGTCGTCGAGGATGCCCAGCAGGTCGTCGAAGAAGGCCTCGTCGTCCGCCGACACGGGCGCGACGTCGTCGTCGACGTTCTCGTAGTCGTCCTGCTCAAAGGCGGCGTCGACCTTGTAGGACGACCCGTCGGGCCCGTCGAGGAGGGACCGCTCGCGCTCGGACGCCGCGGCGAGCGTCTCCCAGCGCGACCGCTCGCGGTTCCGAAACTCGGGCGCGGCGTCCGCCTCGGCGCCCCGCGCGGCCTCGCGGCGGTCGCTGCGCCGGCTGCGCCGGGCGTCGAGGCCCGCGTCGGCGGCGCCGTAGTCGTCGTCGTCGCGGCGGCCCCGCGACGCTTTGGCCGCGGCGTCGCGCGCGGCCGCCTCGGCGCGCGCGGCCTCCATCTCCTTGGCCTGCTCCATCTGCGCGAGCTCCGACGCCGTGAGGTGGCGCACCATGTCGGGGTCCAGGGGCACGTCGAAGGACGCCGTGCCGACGCCCGTGAGCCGCACGATGAGCTGGTCGTTCTTCACGGACCGCACCAGACCTCGCTCGCCCGCGCTCGGCCCGTCGAGCACGGCGACGACGTCGCCCAGCGCGAAGCGGTCGACGATGTTGTCCTCGCCGACCTCCTGGCCCTCGAGGTGCACGCTGAGCATCATCTGCGCCTCCCTGGCGCTCAGGGGCACGGGCGTGACCGCGCCCTTGTAGCCCTCGACGATCTCGCCGATGCCGTTGCGCATGCCCGCGTCGATGCCCACGAAGTTGGCGATCTTGGGCACCCGCGTGAGCACGCGCCAGAGCTCCTGCTCCATGCGCAGGCGGCAGAAGACGTAGCCGGGGTAGATGATCTTCTCCTTGTGGTAGACCTTGCGGCCGCGCGTCGACGCGACCTTCTCCGTCGGCACGAGGATCGTCTCGACGCGGCTCCGCTGCTCGACGTGCTCGGGCTTGCCCAGGATCTCCTCGATGGTCGCCGCGCACCAGACCTCGTTGCCGACGTAGCACTGGAGGATGTACCACTCGTAGTCCTCGCTCGTCTCGACGTCGACGGGGACGGCGCGCGAGGGCGGCCGCGCGCGCGCCGGGAGGCTCGGCACGAACGCCGCGACCGGGACCAGGAGCGCGGCGAGCGCCAGCAGCGACGAGCGAAGCCGTCGCCGCGCCAACATTCCGCCGGCCATCCTGCAGGCCTGTGTCGACGATTGAAGGCCGAGAATGGCAACCAATTCAAGTTGAAGTACAACAAAGGCGGAAACGGCAATTCTATATACAATTGTAGTTTGTTTGACCGCACTGAAGCTCTAAAGTTTGCTGCCCCAGAGCAGCCGTCGACATGGCCGCCGTCGTGGTGGACCCCGGGCCCCTCGCCCGGCTGAGCCTGCGGGACGACGCGGGCGGGGTCGCCGGGGCTCGGGAGTCGCTCGACGTGGGCGGCGACGACGACACGAAGCCCTGGCAAAGAAGCGGGAGCTACGACTTCGACCGGCGGCCGCGGCGCTACCCCTACCGGTCGCGCGACGCCTTCGTGTCGACGCCCCCGTCTCCCGCGGGCGACGGCTGGGGCGCGAGGCGCCGGTGGGTCGCGCCGCGGAGCCCCCGCCGCGACTTCGGGGACCTCGCGGAGGCCGCGCCCTTGGCCGAGTTCGTCGAGGCCGCGGGCCGCGAGGCGAGCGAGACGGCGAGCTCCGGCGCCGGCGCGTCGTCGAGCGGCGGCTCCGACGTCTGCGACGAGCCGAGCGCCCTCGCCTGCGCCGTGGGGCCGAAGCGCGTCGAGGCGACGGTCGTGCGGAGCGCGTCGGCGTCCGTGTCGGACGGCGACGAGGCCGAGCGCCTCGAGGCGTGCCTGCGCCGGCGCCTCAAGGTGCTGGGCTTCGTGCTGAGCGCCTACGAGCTCGAGCACGCCGCCCTCGAGGCCGCGTCGGGGCTCCACGAGCTCGACGACGCGCCCGCGTGCGACGTGAGCCTCGAGCCGCGGCCGCGGCCGCGGCCGCCGGCGTCGCCCGTGCCCAGCGGCGAATCGCTGAGCTCCGGCTGCGGCTCCGTCGACCGCGAGCGGCCCCGGCGCGCCGCCGCCAAACGCGCGGCGCCGCGGCCGCGGCGGACCGCGCCGACGCGGCTGCCGCCGCCGTTCCCGCCGCCGGGCGGCGACGTCGGGCCGCCCCGGCGCCAGAGGCCCGACGAGTCCACGGACGTCGAGAGCGACTTCGAGATCGAGGCGTCGTCGACGTCCATGGCCGCCGCGGCCGCGGCCGCGGCCGCGCCGCCGGCCGCGGCGCGCCGGCCGCCGCCGCGGCCCGCCGCGCGGCCGCCGCGCCCGCCCGCCGCGCCGCGCCCGCCGCCGCCGCCGCAGCCCATCGTCGTCCGCCAGCCGCCGCAGCACCCCGTGGCCCTGCCGCCGCGGCACCTGCTCCACATCCCGCCGCAGCATCTCATCGCGCTGCAGCGGCAGCACGCGCTCGCGCTGCACCACGCGAACGCGCTCCAGCGCGCCAACGCCCTGCGCCAGCACCAGGCCGCGCCGCGCGTCGCCGCGCCCGTGCCGCGCGTCGCCGCGCCGCTGCGCGCCGCGCCGCCGCGCGGCGTCCGCGCGGCCGGGCCGCCGCCGCCGCCGCCGCCGCCGGCGAAGCCCATCACGCCCGACGGGTCGCCGCCGGCGTCGCCGGCCCACGACCACCGCAAGGGCGCGCCGGCCGCCCCGCCGCCGCCGCGCGCGCGCGAGGTCTCGCGCGACGCCGGCGCCGGCGACGTCGGCGCCGGCGACGCCGGCGACGACGGCTGGGAGCAGTTCCCGCGCCGGTCCGCGCGCCGCGACGCCAAGAAGCGCAAGCACGCGGGTCCGCGGGCCTGCGAGTTCCGCGGCGTCAAGAGCTGGGGCGGCTGGTGGTGGGCGAGCTACGGGAGCTCCGTCAGAAGCTACGAGCGCAAGCTCGACGCCGCGCGCGCGTACGACATGATGGCCCGCGGCGCCGGCGCGCCCCACCCGAACCCCAACCTGCCCCTCGACGCGGCGCAGCGCGCCTTCGAGGCCGCGGAGCTCCGCGGGGGGGCCGCGGACGAACCGCGGCGCGCCAAGAAGCCGCGGCTCCGATGATGGCGCCGCCGCCCCCCCCACCCCCTTCTCTCGTCCGCTGCTATATCGCCCGCTCAGGGCCCCCGCCGTTCCGTCCGGCACCGTTCCATTCGGCACCCCCAAATTAAGCTCGCTACGAGGGCGACTTTTGCACTGCCACGGCATGATGGTGCCAGATGGTGCGTACACGTTGAAGTGCATGTTGAAACTTATGGTTGATGGTGAAGCGCAAAGGAGACGATGGGACTCATCGAGCTCTAAAACCGATGCGCCTCCTCGCGACGCTCGCATCGCTGGCGGGACCGCGCGGGCCGACGCAGTCGCACCTCACGCTGGCGCACGCGCTGTGGCGCAGCACCGTGCGGCCGGGCGACGTCGTCGTCGACGCGACGGCGGGCCGCGGCCACGACACGGCGGTGCTCGCGGAGCTCGCGGGCGCGGCGGGCCGCGTCTACGCCATGGACGTCGACGCGGCGGCGCTCGCCGAGTGCGAGGCTCGAGTGCGCGCCGCGGCGCCGGACCTCGGCGCCTTCGCGCCGATCCTGGGCTCGCACGCGGCGCCGCCGCCGGGCCTGGGGCCGCGGCGGGCGCGGCTCGTCGTCTTCAACCTCGGGTACCTGCCGTCGAAGGGCGCCGCGGAGGGCGTGCCGACGACGAGCGCCGAGACGACGACGGCCGCGCTCTGCGACTGGGCGCTCGGCGCCGTCGTGCCCGGCGGCGCGGTGAGCGTGTCCGTCTACCCCGGCCACGCGTCCGGCGCGCGGGAGAGTCTGGCCGTGCGGGCGCTCGCGCGGTCGCTGTCGCCGTCCGCGTGGCGGTCGACGGAGCACGTCGCCGTGAACCACGGGCCCGACGCGCCCTACGTCGTCTCCCTGCACCGGCTCTTCCGCGACGACCGGGAGAACACGGACGACGACTTCGCCGCGGCGCGGGCCGCAGCGCTGGGCGCCATACGGTGATCGGGACGGTTAGCTCGGCGCGCGGGCGGTTTTTCGGGTGGGGCCCGCGCGCGCTAGAGGTCCGCGTGGCCGTTGCGCTGGCCGTTCGTCGGCGTGTTGGCGATGTACTCCTCGTCGGCGGCGAGGAGGGACCGCATGGCCTTGGCCTTGGCCTCCTGGACGAGCGCCTTGAAGTAGCGGAGCTTGAGCTTCGTGTCCTCCGGGTCGCTGAACTCGACGTCGATGGTGCGGTGTGCGTAGATGAAGGAGAACGCCAGGGGCCAGTTCTTGGCGGACATGGACTTGCGCAACGTCTTCGTGCCGCAGAGGAGCTTGCCCTGGGCCGCCGGGTCGAGGTCGTGCGCGCCGCGGACCTCGACGCACTCGGAGAGCGGGTACGACTCGCCTTTCGAGCGCGCGGCGCCGCCGCCGGGCTTCTCCCAGTAGAGCGCCGCGCCGCCGTCCGTGAGCTTGAGCTTGCGCTTCTGGGCCTTGCCGTTCGTCGAGTGCTTGAGCACGTGGACGCCCTCGGCGACGAGGGCCTCGACGAAGCCCCGGAGCTCCGCCTGCGTCACCGTGACCTTCTGCTGGGGCTTGCGCTTCTCCAACAGCTTCTTGCGGAGCGCCGGCGCCATGTGGGCGCTGTGCTGCAACAATTTCTGGCGCAGCCGGCCGTAGGACTGGTGCGCGTCCGTGCCGTGGAGCGCCGACGACTCGTCGAGGTGCCGCGACGTCTGCTCGCGCGCGAGGACGCACTCGCGCTTCGCCTCGTCGACGATGGCCAATAGCTGGGCCTCGCGCTGCTTGGCCTTGGTCGCCTGGGCGCGCCAGGACTCCGCGCGCGCCTCCGCGCCCGCGCACCGCTCGCGGAGCGCCGCGTTCTCGCTCCGGAGCTCCTCGAGCGCGCGCGACGCCTCCGTGGCGACCTCGCGGGCGGCGGCGACGGTGGCCGCCGCCTCGGCGCGCGCCTTCTCGAGGATCTCCTTCTGCTTCTCGCGGTCGAGGTCCGCGGCGGCGTCCTTCCGCGCGTTCGACGAGAAGATGCCGCGCGCGACCGCGGAGCCCTTCTGGCGCGGCGGCGGCGGCAGGGGCGCCTTCTTCTCCTCCTGGGACGGCGAGCCCAGGTTCTTGAGCTTGGACTGGAGCGAGTCGAGGCGCTCGCCCTTGGACTTCATCTCGAGCACGAACGCGACGCGATTCCGCGCGAGCTTCGGGCGCAGGAGCCGCGTCTGGAGCGCGAGCGACGCCGTCTTGGCCGAGGCGAGGTAGCCCACGAGGCGCACGTCGATGCCCCGCCACACGGCCTGGAAGCGCACCGTCGCGCGGAGCACGCGCCGCTTCCGGCTCGCCGCGCGCCGCGCGAGGTAGCACCGGCCGTGGGTCTGGGCCACGAGGAGCCGCGCCTTGAAGCGCTTGAAGGCGGCGTAGGTCAGGTGGCGCCGCGCCAAGGCCTGGATCGTCGCCGCGCGGTCGAAGCACGCCGCCGCGCGCAGCGCCTCGAGGTCGTCGAGCGCGCCGTCGCGGAGGAAGACCTTCGTGCGCCCGACGAAGACGCGGCCCGCTAAGGCCTTCTTCCGCTTCTGCTTCGCCGCGGCCCTCGACCGCGGCGCGGCGTCGTCGTGGACGGCGTCGACGATGGCCAGCGCCGCGGCCTTCCACGGCGCGGCCGCCGCGACGACCGCGCGGTCCAGGATCAGATCCTCGTCGTCGCCGTGCCTCAGGTCCGCCGCCGTCGGCGCGTCCAGGTCGTCGGCGCCGCCGTAGGAGTCGAAGGCGTCGTCGAAGTCGCCGAGGCCCGCCTGCTCCGCGGCCGCGCGGCACCGCTCCAGCGTCGCGGACGCGGCGGGCCCGACGACCGCGAAGCGCTCCACGAAGGCCCGCAGCGGCTTGCGGTCCGGGTAGCCCGCGCGCGCGACGCGCAACGCGCTCAGCACGCCGCAGCACCGCAGCTGCTCGACCACCGGCAAACGGTGGAACGCGTCCTTCGAGTCGATGGGCCGCGCGGCGTCGTTCGGGCCTGGGCAGGAAAAGAGTGATTCAACGTCGCTTCAACACGAGTGTTCCGCGCGAGCGCGTTCCGAAAAAAAGCATCCACGCTTCGAGGCCGTTCCGAAAGATGATCGCTCGTCCAAAACTCAGCCGAAACAAGTGGAAAACGGCCGAGCTAGGAGCCTTTGAAGTTGGGCATTTCGCTCTCTTTTCCTGCCCTGGTTCGGGCGGATGCAGCGCACGTAGCGGCACTTCGTCGCGGCGATCTGGCGCATGAGGTCGCGGAGCTGGGACCGGAACTTGCTGCCCACGGTCTCCTGGCTGGACAGGTGGCTCCCCCGGCGCTGCGGCCGCCGGCCCGACGCGCGGCGCCCGCCGTCGCCGCCGCCGAACTTGGACCGCAGCAGGTTCGCGGCCTCGGCGGCGGCGAAGAGGGCCACGGGCGAGCTCAGCGACGCCTTCTCGTCGACGACGAAGGACGGCCGGTGGGCGCCGTCGCCGTCGACGGGCGTCGTCATCGCCTCGACCAATTTCGTGGGCAGGACGTCGCGGTTCCGCTCGACCCAGCCCTTCGACGTGTACATGACCGTCCCCGCGTAGTGGGCGATGGTGAAGGGCAGCGCCTCGCCGTCGCTGTGCTGCTTGATCTTGGGCGTCGCGAGGCAGGCGTGGCCCTTGTGGAAGTTGAGCAGCTTGTCGACGAAGTTGCTGTCGTTGCCCGAGTTGCCGCGGACGCACTCCTCGTTCAGGATGTCCACGAGCCCCGCCCGCGCCTCGATGAGGCGCAGCACCTCGGCGTTGTCGTCGAAGTCGACCTTGGTCCAGGGCACGCCCTCGGCGAGCAGCTCGCGCTGCGCTCGCGCGAGCACGTCGGCGACGAAGCGCTGCTGCAGCCGCTCGTTGGCCAGGTTGATGAGCAGCTGCTCGAAGCCGTTCGCCGACCCCGCGGCGCCGTAGAACTCGAAGCCGAACAGGTCCAGCATGCCGATGACGACGCCCGGCGGCCGCGCGTCGCCCTCGGCGCGCCGCGTCGCCGCGTTCGAGAGCGCGACGACCTGGGCAGCAAAAGAGAGATTCAATGTCGCTTCAATGTGAGTGTTCCGCGCGCGCGCGTTCCAAAAAAAAGCATCCACGCTTCGAGACCGTTCCGAGAGACGATCGCTCGTCCAAAAATCAGCCAAAACGAGTGGAAAACGGCCGAGAAAGGAGCCTTTGAAGTTGGGAATTTCGCTCTCTTTTGCTGCCCTGGCGACGACCTTGTCGAAGACGCGGCTGTAGAGCTCCTTCGCCAGCGCGTCGCGCGCGTCGGCGGCGGATTCCGCCGATAGAGCGACGGTCGCGCTGCGGATCTCGCGCAGCGTGAGGCCCCGCTCCAGCAGCTTGCGGTCGCAGCCGAGCGCGGCCGCGGCCCCGGTCAGCGCCGGCGGGTTCGCGACCTTGCAGCCGTCGTCGTCCACGGTCGAAATGACGACCGTGTCGAAGCGCACGTCGCCGAGGGCGAGCACGGCGTCGACGCAGTGCAACAAACCCGCGACCTCGCCGTCGTCGAGGCCGCAGACGGCCCGCAGCCCGTCGACCATGCCGCCGTGCGACGACAGGTCGTCCTTGCCGCGCGCGTGCGCCGCCGACGCGTCGGCGACGGCGTGGGGGTGCTCGCTCAGGTAGCTCGGCACCTTGTCGAGGCGCCCCGCGTCGGCCTCGCGCTTGCGGAGGTGCTCGTAGAAGACGTGGTACGTCCGCTCGCCCGACGCGCGCTCGACGACGCGCGTCTTCTCCAGCAGCGCCGTCTCGCACCAGCTCGACTCGATGGCCATCGTGTCCCGGTCGAACTCGACGCGCAGGAACTTGGCGAAGCGGCTCGAGTTGCCGTTGCGCAGCGTCGCCGCGTTGCCGAACGACTCGAGGAGCGGCCCCGCCCGGAGCACCTGCGCGACGATGGTCTTCGTCGCGGAGCCGTGCTGGGCGATGTCCGCGAGGTGGGCGAGCATCAGTTTCACCGTCTCCGTCTTCCCCGCGCCGGACTCGCCGGACACCAAGATGGACTGGTCCTCGCCGCGCGCGGCGCCGCGCGCCGCGGCGCCCGACACCGAGTAGACGTGCGCCGCGCGGCGCGTCTCGTCGCTCGACGGCGCGTCGCTGTGGAGCGCCCGTAGATCCTCCGTGTAGAGCGGCAGCCACTTGAAGGGGTTCACGGCGAGGACGACGTCGCCCGCGGCGACGTACGGCCGCCCCGCGGCGCACCGCCTCTCGATGGCCTCGAGGATCGTCGCCTCGTGGACGTGGCCCAGGTCGCACAAATCCTCCACGTCCCTCAGCTCGACGACCTCCTCCTGGACCATCTCCTCGGGCGGGAGCGTCACCTTCATGGGCCGGCCCTCGACGACGCCGTCGACGACCAGGCCGCCGACGTAGCGCTCCGGCGGATTCGGCACGGTGCACCGGGCCCAGACCTTGGACCCCACCGTGTCCTCGACGTAGATCTTCATCGTCGCGTTTGTCGGAGCGGTTGCGCTGTGTTGGTCGCGCGCGCGCGACGGCGCGAACGGTGGGGCAGCCCGCCTCGGGCAGCGCCGCGGCGGGGCCGCGCAGCCGCGCGCGGCGAAGCGCCGGGCGCGGCGCTCGGGGACGCCCGAGGGGCCGCCGAAGCGCCTTCGGTTGCCACGCGCCTCGCCGGGGCTCGGGCCTGGGCCCGGCGACGCGCAAAAATGCAAATCTGCAGTGTCGTCGACACCGGCGGCGACTTACTACGTCGATAGCACCGTGGCGGCAATAATGCCGCGAGGTCGTCATTGATGCTATGTTGATTTTGGCTATGGCCAAAGCATCAGCGTCTGGCGCGACTCCAGAGCCGAGCGAACCCGCAGCCACCATGAAACGTTCCGCGGACGCGCCGTCGCAAGCCGCGGACGCGCCAGCACAACCCAAGCGCAAGCGCAAGAAGAAGGAGAAGCCGACGTGCGAGCGCGACTGCCGCCACCTCTATTGCCTGCGCGGCACCTACGACTGCGCGCTGGAGGGCTGCGTGCCCTGCGCCTACAAGCTGTGCCTCCACTCTGACCCGGAGCGGCCGCTGCCGCCGCCGGAGCGGCCCGAGCAGTGCCTGCGCGTGCGGCGCGGCGGCGACGGCGGCGACCGCGGCCGCGTCTTCGGCGGCCGGACCGCGCTCACGGTCGGCGACGGCGACTGCTCCTTTTCGCTCGCGATCGCCGGGGCCTGCGCCCGCCTCGACGCGTCGACGCTCGCGCCGGACGAGGACGCGCTCTGCGGCCTCTACGAGGGCCTGCCGATCCGGGCGCACGTCGCGAAGATCCGGAAGGCGAAGCACTGCCGCCTCCTCTTCGGGGTGGACGCCACGGACCTCGCCGCGGCGCCCAACATCAACACCTACGACCGCGTCGTCTTCAATTTTCCCTGCCTGCCCGTCGCCGCCGGCCAGGACGGCCAGAACCCGGACTCGAAGGTCGCGGACGCCGCGGCGCTCGTCGCGAACCGCGACTTGGTCCGGCGCTTCGCGCGGTCCGCGCTCGCGGTGCTCGCGCCCGGCGGCGAGGTCCACGTGAGCCACAAGACCATCGAGCCCTACAAGTGGTGGGGCTTCCCGGATTTGGTGACGGACGCGGAGGCCGGGCTCGCGTACCGCGGCGCCTACGTCTTCGACCGCGCGTCGTTCCCGCCCTACGCGAACCGGAAAGCCTGCGACCGGGCGTCCTTCACGGCGACGGACGCCGTCACCTACGTCTACGCCGGCCCCGGCGACGGTCCCGGCGCGACGCTGCCGCCGCGGTCCGAAGCTCCCCCGGACGCCGCGGCGCCGCCGTTCCACCGGGGGCCCCTGGCTCCCCCCGACACGTTCGGCGCGTTCCTGCGCGTCGACCCCCCGCTGCTCGCGCGCGTGCGCGATGCGCAGCAAAAGCGGTAGGTTATAGGGGCGCGGCCTCGGCGAAGACGTCGACGTCGACGGTGGCCGTGCCGCGGTCATAGAGCGGCGCCGCGTCGCCGAGGCCGTCGAGGGGCAGGAGCAGCGAATTCGCGTAGGTCGCGCGCGCGCGGAGGACCTCCGTGTCGAAGTCGTCGGGCGCGAAGAGGCGGTAGAAGGTCGCGCCCTGGACCTGCGCGCGGATGCCCCAGCGCCAGCCGCCGCCCGACGGGCACGCCGCGGGGCCGAGCTTGAAGGAGAGGCGCAACGGCTCGGCGCCCTTAGAGTCGGGCACGGGCACGAGCAGGGGCGCCCCGTCGGGCCCCGCCAGCGCGAAGGTCACCGCCTCGAGCCCCGCGCCGCCGGACTCCGTCCGATTCACGGCCCGGAGCGCCGCCTTCGCGAAGTCCGAGTACTCCGCCCCGTCGACGGGCCGCCACTCGTCGGCGGCGGCGCGGGCCACGAGGCGCGCCTGGGCCGCGGCGATGGCGTCGACGATGCGGTCGTAGCCCACGCGGCCGCCCTGCAGCGGGGCGCCGCCGTCGACCACTAGACAGTCGCGCTCGATGTCGCGGCGGCTCTGCTGCTCGGACGCGTCCTTCTTCGTCGTCGGCTTCGGCGCGCCGCCGCGCATGGGCAGGTCCCGGGCGCTCAACGCGACGCGCGCGCCGCCGGGCGCCGACGCGGCCGCGACGAGCGCCGCGGCGCTCGCGCCGCCGCCGAGCGCGGCCTCGACGCGGCCCCGCGCGGGCGTCGCGTCGCGCGGGGCCGCGGGGCCCGCGGCGGCGGCGAGGGTCCCGCGGAGCTCGGCGACGCGCGCGCCGTCGTCGCCCGCGGGCGACGGCGGGCTCGCCGGCGGATCCGCGGCCTCGCGCTTGAGCCGCCGCGCGAGCGTCCGCGCGGCCGCGGCCCGCTCCAGCAGCGCGAGCTCGTGCACCGCCGCGACCTGCTGCGTCGCCAGGACCCGCGCCTCGAGCACGGCGTCGGAGCCCTCGTCCTCGTCGTCCGACGGCAGAGCGACGACGGACGACAGGGACAGCTCGATCTCCTCGACGGTGACGACGACGAAGGCGTCGCCGCAGATCTCCGGGGGGTTGCGCTTGCTCTTTTTCGTCGCGATCTGGGACGCCATCGCGACACCACCCCTCCTGGCGCGTTTGCCGACACCGAAGGCGGCGGCTCCAGGGCCGTCGTCCTTGTCCACAAGTGTGGCAGCGGCACTGTCAACTCGCTCAGCGACGATGCCGTCGTACTTGCCGTCGTCGTTGGCTTCTGGCGCGGTGCCGTGTCCAGCTGCCGTGTCCGCCGTCGTCGTCGTTGCCACCTCCGGGCGCGCCACGATGTTCCGCTCCTGCAAACAGCCCCCGGAGGACCGCGAGGTCGAGCTCTGCTCGACGAACAAGCGCAAGGACTCGCTGAAGCGCGACCGCGAGGAGGAGGAGGAGGAGGAGGACGAGGCCGTGCCGCTGCTCGGCGGCGCGCCGAAGCCCGCGCGGCGCTGGGGCTCGCAGGGCGGCGCGAAGAAGCGGCAGCACCGGCGGCCGACGCACGCGCCGCCGCCCGTCGCCGCGCCCTGCGCCTACGCGTCCGTCGACGACGCGCCCGGCGCGCGCCGGCGTCCGCCCGCGCGCGAGCGAAACTGCCAAAAGAATCGTCGTGGCGCGCCGCAGCCGAGCCGCGCGTCGCGCGTCGTCGAGGCCTTCAACCACGGCTGCCGCCGGGCGACGACGGCGGCCGTCGACGGCGTCGCGCGGCGCATCGCGGCGCTCGACGCGGCCGTGCGCGCGTCCAAGTACTGCACGATGGCGCCGCCGCGGGCGCTCGCGCCCGCGGACGACGTCGAGGCCGCGCGCCAGCGCGTCGCGTCCGCGGAGGCCTGCGTCCGCGTGCTGCTGGCCGAGGTGACCACACAGCGCGAGCGCGCGTCCGCGTCGTCTGCCCTCGAGGGGCTCTCCTTCGCGTCGCCGCGCCCGGCGGCGCCGGCCGCGGACGCGCTCACGTGCCGCAAGGACGAAGCGCCGACGGCGGAGGCGCGCGTCGTCGAACTCGAGGCCGCGGTCAAGTCGCTCCGCGAGGCCCTGGCCTCTGCGCGGAAGCCCGAGGACGACAACGCGGAGGCGTCGTCCCTCGACGCCCTGGAGAGCGCGATGCGCGCCGCGGCCGCGCGCCTCATGGACGGCGACGAGTCCGCGGAGGCGGACCTCGACCGCCTCGACAAAGCCATCCGCGCGCACCCGGACCACGTCGCGCGCGTCGCGGCGGCCGCCGCCAAGTGGGAGCGCGACGAGGCGCCGGCGAACGCCGCGGCGCTCGCGGCGACGCGGGGCCTCGTGCCCGCGGACGTCGCGTCGTCGACGGCGCCCAAGGTCCGCGCGGCCTTCGAGCGCGCGCTGCCGGGTCACCCGCAGGCCGCCAAGGCCGCGGCGAAGCGCGTCTGGGAGAAGAAGGCTTTGTGGCTCGTCCACGTGCCCCGGGACCGCGTCGCGAAGATCCACGTCGCGGACCTCCGGGGGCGCTACGCGCTGGCGGGGGCCTACGACATCGTCGAGCTCCGCGCCGTCTACGCGTCCCTGCCGGAGGCCTTCGACCACGACCACGACGAGGCCAAGGCCCGCTGGCGCGACGACGTCCGCGCGAAGCTCCAGGCCCTCGTCGACAAGGAGCGGCGCGGCGACCTCCGCGGCAACGACGCGCGGCACCGCGCCTACGAGGGCCTGCCGGCGGACGCGCCCGTCTTCGCGCCGGGCGTCACCGTCGCGTCCCTCGTCGGCGCGGCCGACGAGTCCGTCGCCATCTACGAAGACCCAGCGCCCGAGCCATCTACGAAGCGCCCGAGCCTCCCGGCGCCGCCGCCGCGCCGCGCGCCCAAGAAGGCCAAGTCCCTCGGCAACGACACGCTCCTTGCGGCCCTCCACCAGCGCCGCGCGAACGACGCCGAGTGAGCCGACCCCGCTTCCGCCGAACCCACGTTCCTTTAATGCCCCCCTATTTCCGCGCTCGGTCCGCGCGCTGGTTGCCGAGCACCTCCGTGTGGCGCAGGGCCGTGCCGTAGAGCCGCAGGCTGCCGATGACGCCCGAGAAGTCGGGGCCGACCTGGACCTTCGCGCCGGCGTCGACGGCGCCGAGGACCGCGGGCTGGTACTGGGCCCAGCCCTTGGCGTCGTAGGAGGTCGAGTTTCCGCCGTTGCAGAGCCGGCCGTCGACGACCATCGTGATGAGGGACGGCCCCGCGTCGACGACGACCGCGAATTGGTGCTGGCCGTCCTCGGCGAGAGCCGCCGCGCAGTCTTTCGTAGTCGACAGATTCGCGCTGTTCGCGCCGTCGGAGACTTCAAAGGCGAGGCCGGCCTTGGCGACGGAGAGGACGACGCCGGCGCCGGCGCCGTTCGCGCGAGTGTCCAAGAGGCGTTCACCGACCTTCCCCATGCCCTCGATCTGCATCTCGATCGTGAACCCGGCCGGCATCCCGTCCGCGCCGAAGCCGGAGAGGTCCGGGAGCCCCTGGCCGCCCGTGAGGTTCGACGGGTTGAGGCGCTGGCCCGGGCCGCCGGGGATGTCGAGGAGGTTCGCGCTCTTCTCCGGGTCGACGTAGGAGGCGCGGGTCGTCTGCTCGAAGAGGAGCGCCAGGAGCGACGCGTCGACTTCGTGGACGTAGGCGGCGGCTTTATTGGTTTCCGAGATGTAGACTTTGTCCTCCGTCTCCACGAAGTCGGGGTAGCCCGGCCCGTTGTGGTCGTGGCACAAATCGTACGTTTCGTAGAGCGCGACCTCGGGCTGCCCCCACTCGACGACGCCGTCCTTCGCCCAGCCCGGCGCGAGCCAGTAGACGCAGCGGGACGGGTAGCCCATGATCGTGCCGGTGGGTGAGCCGGGATTGTTGTAATAGAGCATGAGGTAGGTCGGAGTCGCGGCGCCGCGGACCTTCCGAAAGAGCCGCGGCGTGATCGGGCCCCGCGGGTTCTTCAAATGGTACGTCTTTTGCGAGGGGAAGGTCGCGTCGACGCGGTACGCGGCCCAGGTGCCCTCCACGAGGGCCCAGGGCCCGTCCGCGGCCGGCGCGCTCGCGGCGCCAAGGTACCCGGCGTCCGTGCGATAGACCAGGTGGTAGCCCCCGGGCACCGGGACGACGTGCGGCTCCGCCGAGACCGCCGGCTTGTCGTCGGGCCACTGGCGCAGGCCCCGGTCCGCGTCGGCCCCGGACCCGACCGTCTTCCAGACCGCCTCGGAGAAATCGTCGCCGACCGCGAAGAGGTTCGGCGAGTAGAGGAGGAAGACCTCCTCCGGCGGGCTGCTCACGAAGGTGCCGACTTTGGTGAACGCCGCCAGAGCGCCGCCGTCGTCCGTCACGATGCCCTTGTCCACGCACCATTGCATCGTGACGTTCCCGTCGAAGGGCACGTTGTGTTCGTCGACGCGCGTCCGGCGCAGCGGCACGCGCCAGTGGTCCTTACTCCAGGACCGCCCGCCGTCGTCGGAGTAGCGCATGCGGAAGTAGCCGAGGACGTCCGTGCGGCGCCTACCAAGAGCGACGGGGTCGGATTTCTTCACATCTTCAGGCGAAATTCACGCGAAAAAACATTCCTGTCGCTCGACGCTGTGCGGCGCAGCGTGTCGCCCGACGGCGAAAGGGTCACGTTGTCGTCGTTCATTCCGTAGAGCGCGACGACGCGGCCCGTCTTCGGGTCTTCGAAGAGCGCGTTGTACGCGTTCGTCAGCGCGCCCGTCTCCAGGGGCACGGAATCGGACCAGGTCGCGCCGAAGTCCGTCGTGCGGGAAGACGCGATGTGCTCGCCCGGCCCGCCTTCGTGGTTGCTGGTGACTGTGGTCGTGCAGAGCCAGCCCCCGGCCGTCGGCGTCGGCAGGCACTGCGGCTGGTCGCTGTAGCCGCCGTCGATGCCGGCGATGACGCGGCCCGTCGGGATGAAGCGCGGGTCCTTGCTTTCGGAGGCGACCGCGGCCGCCGCGAGGGCAGCCCACAAGAATGAGCGAGTTCCCATTGCTGCCATCCTCGGAATGCTTCAATTTGAAGTTCAAATTTCACTTCAAGTTAATGATTTTTAATCGGCCTTCTGGTCGTCGGAGGGCGGCGCTTCCTCGAGCGTCGGCGCCTCGAGCATGGGGACGTTTTCCTCGGAGAAGCCCGCCTCGAGGGACGGCCGCGGCGTCGGCGAGTCGTAGCGCGGCGGCGCGTCCTCGGGCGCATCGTCCTCCGCCGCGTGCTCCGCGCCCTCGAGCTTCGACTGCGAGCCCCACTCCGACCCCCACTGCGAGGCGGACCGCACGGACGCCGGCGGCGACGCGACGACTTCGAGGCTCGGCGAGAAGCGGATGGACCGCGCGCGCTCGACGCCGCGGGTCGCGGCGCCGACATACGTCGCGGAGCTGGACGCGTCACCGCAATAGTACGGGCACCTACCGGGACGGCCTCGCCGCGCCCACGCTCGCCTGGATGGACGCGATCCACGCGAACCTCGCTTTTCGCGGGGCCTACGTCGCCGGATCCTGTGCCGGTTAAAAAAATGACGCGCGTCCTAGGCGGCGCAGACGACCCCGTAGTCCGACGCGGCCAGCGTCGCGGCGCCGGACTCCGAGAGGACGCAGGAAGCGGACACCACAGTCTTGTTGGGCGCGTAGAAGGCGAGCTCGAGGGCCTCGCCCGGCGCGCCGGCGAGGACGACGGAGACGCCGGCGTCGTCGAAGGCGACGGACGCGGTCCGCGCGGCCGCGACGGGGACCCACTTCGCGACCTCGCCCAAGTACGCCCAGCCGTTGTCGAACAGCGGCGCGACGTGGTGCACGGAGAAGTCGGACTCGTTGCAGGCCTTCAGGGTCACGGGGAAGGCGGAGACGGTCACGTTCGACGCCTTCCCGTAGCCCGTGTAGACCACCGCGTCCGCGGCCGCGTCCCAATCCGTCGGCGCGAGGTGCGACGCGTCGAGCTGGAAGTCTTCGGCGAGGTTGATGGTCAAAATGTGCCCCCACTTATACGCGCCGATGGCCGTGTGCGTCGCCATGACCGGCAGCACGTTGGGGATCCGCGCGGCGGGCCCCGCGCCGACGCCCGCGGCGGCCGCGAACGCCGCGTCGACCGCGGACGCGGGCCGCGACGGCTGGAGCAGCCTGCCGCGGTCGTCGCAGGTCCGCAGGATGACGGCGCGGTCGCTGTAGCCGACGCCGTCGGACACCTGCACGGGCCCCGACGACAGCGCCGCGATGGCCGCCTGCATGTCGGAGAAGCGCTCCATCGTCCGGTTGTTGAACGCGTTGCCCGGCTGGACCTGGGTCGACCAGAAGTTGTCCTTGGACGGCTTCAGGTCCAGCGCGTAGGCCAGCAGGCTCGTCGTGCCGACGTAGTAGACGCAGTAGGGGAAGCCGCACTTGGCGTCGTTGCCCGCGCCGTAGTCGTCGGACGCGCGGAATTGCGTGACCGCGGGCAGCTCCACCGCCTGCATGACGAAGCGCGCCATCTCCATGCAGTACTGCACGGCGGCGCCCGCGTTGGACGCGCCATTCGCCATCTCCCGGAGCCAGTCCTCGGCGAGCGTCGCCGACGTCTGCGTCGCGTTTAAACCCAAAAATTCGTTGTACATCCAGTCCTGTTCGTAGACGGCCATGCCCCAGGCCGCGCCGCCGGCCATGAGGTCGTCCCAGAAGGCCTGGGACGTCGGGATCGCGAGGTCGCCCTCGACGAGGAAGTCGTAGGACCCGCCGTTCTGCTTCGCGTAGACGTTGTCCGCGCTCCACATGCGGTTGTGGAGCTGGAACTTCCAGCCGGTAGTTTCCGAAAAGTCCGCGCAGCCGCCCGGGAACGTCTCCGCGGTGCAGGTCCAGTTCTTCACGCCGCCGCCGGCGCCCTTCGTGTACCACCAGCTGTCGAGCAGCGCGTAGCGGTAGGGGATCCGCTCGGCCTGGGCGTACGCGCGGACGTCGAGGAGCGTCCGCTCGTACGTGCCGTTCGGCTTGTAGTAGTAATACGCGCCGTTGTCCGTGCTGTAGCCCAGGTAGGACGTCGTGTAGTCGTCGACGCGCTCCGTGCCGTACGTCTGTAACAGCGACGCGCCGTGGGCCTTGACCGCCGCCGTGAGGCCTTTCGCGTCGTACGTGAGCGCGACGTCGACGGAGAAGCCCTCCGGCACGGACGTCGCGGACCCGAGAATCCCGAACGCCAAGCTGTTCGCGTCGCGCGCCGAGGCCGCGTGGGCGCCCGTCGCGAAGTGGGACCCGAGCGACGCGACGAGGACGCGGCCCGCGTCGTCGAAGAAGGCCAGGGGGCCGCCGTAGGCCCCCGTCGTGACGCTCCTCGCGCCGGTCCAGGCCGTCGCCTTGGAGCCCTCCATGAAGCGGCCCTGGAACGTGAGCACGCCGAGGCCCGTCGCGTTCGGCCCGAGGATGGGCCACTCGGCGACGACGCCGTCGCCGCCCGTGTCTTCCAGTCCGGCCGGGAACGTCTGCGCGAAGCGGACCGCGCCGTCGTACGCGAGGCACTCGACGACGACGAGGGGCGCGGCGGCGCCGGGCGCGGCGTAGCCGCGGCGCCGCGCCGTGAAATCGCCGCGGACGTCGGCGCCGCCGTAGAATTCCCAGGGCCCCGTCGGCGCGAGGGTGCTCGACCAGGTCGAGAGGAGCTCGCCGCCGCTCTGGACGCTCACGCCGCCGCCGGAGAGCCAGGGCGTGCCGTCGATCGTGACGTCGAAGCTGTCGTCGGCGTGGAACGTGACGTTGAGGGCCGCCGCGGCCGCCAGGGGGAGGAGCAACAAAGCAGCGCGTGAGAAGGCCATGCTTGCTCGCAAGAATGTCCACACTCAAGGTGGACAAGAGGCAGCATCGACATGAAATCAAGCCCGATCATCCGATCATCCAACCAGCGAGGCCGAAGCCAGTCGTCGATACAAAAACTCCAGGCGCCGCGCGTCGTGTGCTGCCGTCCGCGCGCCGCTGCTCGCCTCTCATTGCACGAGCTCCTCGCCTCCCCGCTGCTTCCTCGTCGAGCGCTCACCTCCTCGCCGCGCGCTCGCCGAATAGCACGATTTAGCACGAGATGGCCAAGCTGCTGGACGTGGCGCAGATGCGGTGCCGCCTCGAGGGCCTGTCGCACGCGAACCTCGTCGAGGTCGCGCTCGCCGCCGTCGCCAACGACACGCGCAAGCTCGACGAGGCCATGGCGGCGCTGCGGCTGGCGAGCGCGCCCGCGGCGTTCAAGCCGCTCGCGAAGACGCGGTCGTCGGCCGCGGACGGCAAGCCCGACGCGATCGTCGTCGTCGACCCGCTGTCGACGGGCGCGCGGCTCGCCGCCGAGGCCCAGGCGCGGGGCTTCCTCATCGTGCGCGTCATGTCGCAGGCCTTCCCCGACGAGCTGCTGTCGATCATCCCCGCCGCGTGCGGTTCGTTGAACTGGAAAGCGACGGTCATGTACGACGCCGCGAACCCGGGCGAGACCGTCGCGGCGCTCAAGGCGCTGCCCGTGCACCTGCTGGGCATCCTCGTGGGCTGCGAGAGCGGCGTCGAGTGCCACGACGCGCTGACGACGGCCTTCGGCGGCTTCCCGTCGAACGGCATCGAGAAGTCGCTCACGCGGCGCGACAAGCACCCCATGGGCGAGGCCGTGCGCGCCGCGGGCCTGCGGGCCGTGAAGCAGAAGCTCTGCGGCAGCTGGGCGGACGCGCGGGCCTTCTGCGGCGACGAGCTGAAGGTCCAAGCCGGAGAAACGGGCGCGTGGTGCGTGCTCAAGCCCTGCAAGAGCGCGGGCACGGACGGCGTCTTCATCGCCAAGTCTTTGACGGAAGCCGAGGACAAGTTCGGCGAGATCGTGGGCAAGGAGAACGTCTTCGGCGAGACGAACGCGGCCGTCCTCGTGCAGGAGTTCATGAAGGGCACGGAGTTCGTCGTCGACTCCGTGTCCGTCGAGGGCACGCACAAGTGCGTCGCCATCTGGGTCTACGACAAGCGGCCCTGCAACGGCGCCCAGTTCGTGTATTATTCCATGGACCTGTACACGTCCGCGGACGGCAAGCGGGAGGACGCGCTCGTGAAGTACGTGCACGGCGTGCTCGACGCGCTCGGCGTGCGCCACGGGCCGAGCCACGCGGAGGTCATGTGGCTCGACGCCTGCGACGAGCCGTGCCTTGTGGAGGTCGGCTGCCGGCCCCACGGCGGCGAGGGCACCTTCGTCGACATGGCGCAGCCGTGCATCGGCTACTCGCAGCTCTCCGTGATGCTCGACGCCGTCGAGAAGCCCTACCGCTTCCACCGGCTGCCGACGCGGCCCCAGGGCATCACGGGCGGCTCCTCCGAGGTCTGCCTCATCGCGCACCAGGCGGGCGTGCTCGCGGGCTACCCGGCCGCGCCCAAGGTCCGCGAGCTCAAGTCCTACCTCTGCGAGGAGCTCAAGGCCAAGGTCGGCGACGCCGTGCCCCTGACCGTCGACTTCCTCACGACGCCGGGCTCCATCATGCTCGTCGACGACGACGCGGCCCAGATCGAGGCGGACAAGGACGAGATCCACGAGCTGTGCAAGCACGGCCTCATGGACATCATCCCCGCGAGCCGCCTCCGCCTCCGGTCCTTCTAGCGAGCGACCGGGCGTATTAAATCGAACGAGACATCCACGGTCGCGGCGAAAATTAGGACCGGCCCGCGCTACTTGCGCTTCTTGCCGCGGCCCTTCTTCTTGCCGCCGCCGCCCTTGCCCGCGGTTTTGCGGTGCGTGTGCGTCGCGACGGCGTCGTGGGGGCGGGACGCGAGGAAGGCGTTGTCCTCGGCCTTCTTGTCGAACTGGTCCGCGGCGACGGCCGGCGCCGCGCGCTCGCCCGACGCCGCGGCCTTGGCCTTGTCGACGGCGCTCGCCATGCGGCTGAAGACGTCCTCCTCCGGCGGCGCGCCGGGCTTGCGGGCCTTGGACTTGGGCGGCGGCGCCCGGGGCACGCCCAGCGCCTCGCGCGCGCCCGGGACCTTGTTGAGGACCGTCGTCTGCAGCAGCGAGAACGAGTTCGCCGAGACCCAGTAGCAGAAGACGCCGCTCGGGAAGGTGTAGGTCATGGGCACCATGGCCACCGCCAGGCCGCGCATGACGTTGCGGAACATCTGCTGCTGGCCCGGGGACTGCGCGGCCATGCCGTCCGCGCCGACTTCGACCATGGCGAGGAAGAGCGCGGACGTGAGCAGCGGCAGGACCATCGTGTCGTCCGGGGCCCCCAAATCGTCGAACCAGAGCAGGCCGCCGGCGTGCGCCGCGGGGAAGTGGTCGCAGAGGCGCCGCAACCCGAAGAACATGCCCATGAAGAGCGGCATCTGCACGAGCGGGAACGCGAAGATGAGGTACGGCTTGACGTCGTGCTTCTGGAGCAGCGCGCCCATCTGGCGCTGGTACATCTCCTGGCGCCGCCGGTCCGTCGTCTTCGCCTCGTCGGCGGTCATGCGCGCCTGGAGCACCTCCATCTCGGGCTTGGCCTTCTGCATGCGCGCCGTGTGCTTCATCGTCACGATCGACAGCGGGAAGAGCGCGCTCCGGAGCAGGATCGTGCCCCCGACGATGGCCGCGCCGTAGCTCACGTCGAGGCTCGACGCGATGAGGTCGATGTAGCTCAGCGCGAAGTCCCCGGGGTAGTAGCCCAGCGGCACCGCCTCGGCGACGGCGGGCGCCGCGTCCGCGATCGCCGCGCCGACGTCGACGACGCCGTTCGCGACCGGCGCGGCGGCCTCGACGGCGGGCGTCGTCGCCTGCAGCGCGGCGGCCTCGACGACGGCGGGCGCCTCGGCGACGACGTCGGGCGCCGTCGCCGCCGCCGTGTCCGACGGCGCGTCGGGCGCCGCGGCGGCCGCGGCGGCGCCCTTGCCGCGGCCGAACCAGCCGCCCATGAACGATCGGCGCTGGTCATTGGTGAATCGATGCGCGCGCGCGCGCGCGCTGCCGCGCACGGAGGAGGCGAGGAGCCGCCTGCTCGTGGCGCCGATCATCGTCCCGCCGCAAACTCGCGAGCGATTGCAGGTTGAAGGTCTCGTTGAAGCGAGCTCACGCGTCAACTTTGAAGGCGCCGCGCAGCATGCCAGTGGCTTAGAGACTGCGAAACTTATGGCGGCGGTACATATTTCAGGTGTTGGCCGGTGATCTCCGCCTTGATCTCCGCTACGACCGCATCGTGCTCCTGGCGAATGCGCTCGATCTCGCGACGATCGCTCTCCGCGAGCTCCTCGAGAGCGAGCCGCATCGCCCTTCCGTAATCTTCGACGCTGGCGCGTCGCCATCCGGAGGTGCTCGACCCGGAGGCGCCTGGATGGTCCGGTGCAGCGGCCTCGCCGGCACCGCGCGCCGCCTCGTCGAGCTTGTCAAGGAGGCTGAGGACATACAACGCACCGCTAGGATCTGGATTTGCGATCATCTTTTCCAGTTCTTTTGCGCGTTCCTCTCGCTCGTGAAACTCCGCAGCGGTCAGCCGGAAGGGCCGATCCAAAATGGCAGCCCGCGTTTTGGAACTATGATGAGCGGCGTCGTCGGCGGCGCGCCCGGCGTCGACGGCGTCGACGCGTCCGCCGCCGCCGCCGCCCCCAGAATCGGCGACGGGCGCGTAGCCTTCGGGAAGAAACTTCAAATCGCGCTCTCCATAGTTGACGTCGACGACGCCGGAGGACATCGACATCACCGGCATATAGGCGCTGTTGACGGAGATGGAGCGGAAGACAAATTCTTGGCATTCGCCGTTTATAGAGAAGCGGATCTCGCGGCCGTCGAGGTCGAGCAGAAAGCCGACGATGTCGCCGACGGACCAATGAGGCCTGTCTGCGTCGTAATCGTCGGGGTCGGGGTAGGTCTCTTCCGCGTGCAAGTAATAGCCAGTTTCGCCGTTGCACCCGTAAGAGAAAGCGTCATCGCCGCAGCCCCAGCCGTCCTCCTTGAAGCCGAGCGCGCTCCTGCCGAGCGCCGGATCGAAGCCGCGCCGGGCCCATCCAAACTGCGGGTCTGTGCATTTCTCCACGATTAAAATTTCGTAGAACCATTTTCCAGCTGTCAGCGCGACCTCCGGGCACCCAATCGTCCCCATGATATCGTGTTCGTAATCCGGGACAGCCATGCATCTCCAAAGGTGCCACTTCTTGCTGTCCGGAAGATTCCCGAGGGCTGCCGTCGTCGCGCCCGGCAAGGGCGCGCCGTCGGGGTAGCTCGTCGGCGCGCCGCAGAGGCCGCGCGGCGCGCCGACGACCGCGACGTCGAGGAGGATGACGCTGTCCTTGTTCTGGGCCGTGTTCAGGATGAACTTGTCGATGCGCGCAAAGCAGCCGGGCCGGAACTGGTCGCTCTTCATGAGGGCGCCGAGCTGCGACGCCGCCATCGACGCCATGTACCGCTCGCCGTCGGAGATGCCGACGCGGAACCTGCGCGCGTGCTCGTCGGGGCGCGGGAGGGGCGGGGAGAGAGTTGGGCGCGCACCGGCCGGATCCGCTCGGGATCTCCGTGACGCTGATGATCTGGACCACGACACACACACGCGTCGCCTGGCCCGACCTCGCCCTCGCCTGGCCCGAGAGCATCTCCTCGATGATGCCGTGTTGGGGCTGCGCCATGGCGACGCTTTCGGAGCGACTCCGACGACCGGTGCAAGGGAAGATCCACGATGAAGGCGACGAGGCCCCGAGGTAACCGTGCCCCCCAAAAAGGACCTCCGTCACGTAGCGACGTCTATCGTTGTCCGCCATCTGCTCCCAGTGTTCTTTCTCCTCTGGCTTCAGTGAGCTCCACGCCTTGCCGAGATTTTTGCCTGCGGGGAAAGTCATCGCGCGCGAATCAACAGCTCCGGTACGCCGCAGTGCGCCGATCTCGCCGGGAGACAAGCCCTGCTTCTCCAACTCCGGACGCCACGCCACCGCCATGAGGATGTTCGCCTTCCGAGGCCGCTTGAGTGCGCTGAACTCCTTATGCGCATGCTCCGCATTCGAGTCGAATTCGGGGTCGGTAGAGCTTGTGCCGAGATTATTGGCGAGAGCGCTGATAGTCGGCGGCTCATAGTCGCTGTCGCTCTCTTCGTCCGCCATCTGGGTCGCGTTCCACCTTATTGGAGGAGCTCAGCTCAAGCAATCGTGCTCGGGGCTGCGTACGCCAATGATGCATTCATGTTGCCGGAAGCTCGCCGAAGCCGCTGTAGCTGCCTGAGCGCCGCGCGCCGCACCCACGACCGCCGCACGACGCGCCACACGACGCAGCGATGACGACGACGCGCGCCTTCCGCTGCGAGGACCTCTTCCGCTTCAACAACATCAACCTCGACGCGCTGACGGAGACGTACAACGTGTCGTTCTACTACATGTACATGAGCACGTGGCCGGACTATTTCAAGGTCGAGGAGCACCCGAGCGGCAAACTCATGGGCTACATCATGGGCAAGGCCGAGGGCGAGGGCACGCTCTGGCACGGCCACGTCACGGCGGTCACCGTCGCGCCCGAGTTCCGGCGCCGCGGCCTCGGCCGGAAGTTGATGCACTCGCTCGAGCGCACGTCCGAGTCCGTCTTCGACGCCTACTTCGTGGACCTCTTCGTGCGCGTGTCGAACAGCCTGGCCATCTCCATGTACACGCGCTTCGGCTACTCGGTGTACCGGCGCGTCATCGGCTACTACTCCGGCACCGAGGACGCGTTCGACATGCGGAAGGCGCTGCCCCGGGACCGGGAGAAGCGGTCCATCGTGCCGCTGGAGCATCCGATCTACCCCGACGACCTCGAGTGGTAACTTGCTTTAGGAGCCTCCATCGCCGTTCGCGTCCGACGCGTCCTCGTCCTCGAGGAGGCAGGCGTCGACGAAGTCGAGGACGTCCGCGAAGAGGTTCGCCATGGCGCGCTGGCGCGAGATCTTCGTGAGGAGGTTGCCGACGAAGAGCGGCAGGTAGAGCCGCAGGAGCTCCGGCCGAAACGCGCGTCGAAACTCGGCGGCCGCGGCGACGGCGGCGTCGGCCGCGCGCGCGGCGTCGTCCGCGCCGGCCTCGGGGCAGGGCGGCACGGGCCGCGACCGCCGCGGCGGCAGGCCGACCTCCGCGCGCGTCTCCGGCGCGTAGGCTTCGAGGAACTCGCGCCAGAGCGCCGCGGCCCCGTCCGGGCCCAGCAGCTCGACGACGAGCGCCCCGGCGAAGGCCCGCGTCGACGCGACGAAGTCCTTCGTCTCGGCCGTCGCGTAGGGCGTCGTGCGTCGCGAATCGCGCACCCAGGCGTCGAAGTACTTGAACTCCGGCGGGTTCGCCGTCGTCGCGACCGCGAGCGCCGCGTCGGCGCCGACGGTGAAGCGGTGGATCCAGCCGGAGGGGATGAAGACCGCGTCGCCCGCGCGGAGCGTCGCGCGCAGCGTCGCGGGCACGGCGCCGCTCGCGAAGCCGTCGACGCGCGCCTGGCGCGCGCGCGGGTGCGTCGCGGGATGCACGCGGAACCCCGCCGCGGCCGTCGACGGCGGCGCGAGCACGACCTCCTTGCTGCCGGCGAGCACCGTATACAAATTGGAGAAGAGGTCAAAGTGCGGGAAGGACGCGCTCGACGGCCCGCCGGCCCAGAGGCCCGGCGCGCGCGGCGTCCCGCCGGGCTCCTGGAGCCAGAGGAACGCGGCATGCTTCCAGGCCGCGCGGTCGATGTCCGCCGCGAGGTGCACGGAAATCGCCGCCGCGTCGCCGCCGTAGCGCGCCGCGGCACCGGAGTCGCCGCCGGAGCGCGCCGCCGCGCCGGCGCCGCGCACGGCCGCGAGGAGCGACCGGCCGCTCGGCGTCGTGCGGACGCGGTGCGCGTCGTCGTCCGTGGCGACGGGCCGCGCCAGGGCCTCCGCCGCGAGCACGCTGTTGTTGTCCCAGTAGCGGAAGGTGCGGCCGGCCGGCAGCACGTCGTAGCGGATGGGCCGGTCCTGGCGCGGCGCGCGCTCGACGCGGCGCCACGCGCTCTTCTCGAGCCAGCCGGCGTCGGCGACGTAGCCGCGGACGACGAAGGGGCAGGACGGCTGGGTTTCGGGGAGAGCGTCGAGTTCTTGCAGCCGCCGGCAGGCGCCGAATGTGCTGTCTTCGGCGGTGCTGCTGCCGCTGCGTCCGCGCGCGGCGACGCCGGCAAGGATGGCGATGCACGCGACGGCGCACGCGGCGATGTATGCGCTGGTACCAGTACTTTTCTTGATCGTTTGCGCGTTGTTGTCGCGCGGCTCGTTGCTGTCGCGCGGCTCGCGCCCGTCGTCGCGCGGCCGCCTTTTGGGCTTGGCCATGCTGTGTTCGAGGCAGAATCCGGGCGCCTCCTCGAGCTCGCCGCACTGCCGCCCGCAGCGTCGGCAGCGGCCGCCGTGCGCGCGCGAACTATCAGTCTCTTAAGTTCGCCTCGCAGCCCCAGTGCGTCACGTAGCCGCCGTTGGCGTGGATGGCGCGGTCCGCGTGGGCCGCGTCGGGCGCGCCCGTGGAGAGCGTGTCGAAGGGGAAGGTCGGGACCCAGTACTCGTTCTCCCAGGCGTCGAGCCAGATGGCCGTGAGCTCCGCGCGCTTCTCCGCGTAGGCCGGGTCGTACGTGAGGTCGTCGCGCTCGTGCGGGTCCGCGACGACGTCGTAGAACAGCGACACCATCTCGTTGGAGTTGCACTTCCAGGGGTAGGAGTTCGCCGTGCCGTTGAACCACGTGTGGAAGTAGGTCGCGTTCAGCGCGTGGTGGATCAGCTTGTAGTTGCCGCTCCGGATCGTCGCCGTGTCGCCCGACGCCGCGAAGACGATCGTGTCGCGCGGCGCGCCGGAGACGCGGCCGGCGATGTGCGCCCAGTGGTCGACGCTGTCGTAGGACGGGTCCAGGTCCGCCGCGTCGCCGCCGCCGAGCGCGACGAAGGTCGCGAGCCAGTCGACGTGGTGCATGAGACCCGCGTAGGCCGCGCCGCGGCGCCGCGCGGGGATGAGCGTCGGCGAGTAGACGACGCCGGGCACGCGGAGGCCGCCCTCGAACTCGAAGAACTTCGCGCCGCGGCGCGGGTAGTTGTTGCCGTTGCAGTGCGTCCCGCACGTGTTGCCGCCGTTGTCCGAGTGGACGACGAGCACGTACTCGCGCGCTCTGTCGTCGAGGGCGCGGCGGACGGCGCCGACGCCCCGGTCCACGGCCTTGAGCGCGCAGCCGAAGCGGAACCGCGGCCGCGTCATGCTCGCCGCGAGCGCGAAGATGGCCGTGTCGTCGCCGTCGTCGCCGTCGACGCACGTCGCCGCGTCGGCCACGCCCGCGTTGTCGTGGACGCCGTGGTGCGCGAGCCAGAGGAAGAGGGGCGCGTCGCTGGGCTCCTCGCGGAGGATCGTCTCCGCGCGCGCGTTGAATATTTCCGTCGTGTACGCGCCCGCGTAGGCCGACCCGTTCTTCGTGACGCCCCGCTCGTGGCTGACGAAGTCGTAGAGGTCGAGCGCGTCGTTGTCGTAGAGGTAGGACGACGGCCCGTCGGCGACGTGGTCCGTGTAGCCGATGCCGTCCGTCAGGTAGCCCACGAACGTGTCGAAGCCGCGCATCCACGGCAGGTAGGCCTCGTTGCAGTGGCCGATGTTCCACTTGCCGATGCCGTGCGTGCCGTAGCCGTTCCGCTTCAGCGCCTCGGGCATGAGGACGTGGCCGAGGGGCACGCTGTAGTTGGAAAAGGCCGTGACCTACGAAGCGCGACGGCGACGATTCCCCTTCGTTTTCCCGGTCAAACATCTCTCGAACGGCCACGGGACGCTGGCCGTGACCTCGCGCTTCGGGCCCCACTTATCACTGAAGCCGATCTTGTGCACGAACTTGCCGCTGAGCAGCGCCGCGCGCGCGGGCGAACACATCGACTGGCCGTAGTACGCCGTCAGCTCCACGCCCTCGGCGACGAGCGTCGCGATGTTCTCCGGCACGGGCAGGTCCGAGCTCTGCCAGAGATCGTTCATGCCGACGTCGTCGAGCGTGACGAGCACGATGTCGGGCCGGTTGCCGTCGCGCTCGCTCGAGCCGTGGCCGCCGGCGTGCGCGTCGGCCCAGGCGTCGTCGGTCTCGTCCGTGATCATCACCGACGCGTCGTCGGTCACGAGGAAGGCCGTCCGCGCGTGGCTGCGCCGTCCCGCGGAGGCGGCGAAGAGCAACGCGGCGACGACGACCACCGGCAGGACCCGCGCCCACTTTGGGGCAGCCCCTACGGCGGGCGCCATGGCCACGTCCCGCCGGCGCCACGGCGCGAGAGCGCCCGGTCCCATCGTGGATACGTGGGGTTCACAACCGACGCGTGGCTGCTTTCTTGTGGCTAGCTTGGTTCGACAGCCTAGGACAGCTCCATTGCGACGTCCTCCAAAGATGGCCAACGTTTACCTCATTGCAGCATTCCACATGCTTCAAGTTAATACAGGACAATCCAGGGTAAACACCGGTCTTTTTTGGCGAAATTTGACGGCTGGAGGGGTCCAAACGAGTACCACGAGCGTAGAGATGGCCGCGAGAGCTCTCGATTTCGGCCCTATTCTGCGAGAAATCCGACTGCAAGAACGTGTTCGGGCGCGCGGGAAGTTTGAAATGTCCGAGATGAATCCGAAGTCGGGTGAAGACCTCGCAGAATAGGGCCCGGATTTGTCCAGCGCCCCGCGTTGCTAAAGTCCACTACAGGGAGTTTTCCCGGCCGACGTCGACGCGCTTCGCCAAAATTCGCTGAAGTTCAGCGTTTTTGATGAAATCTGCACTGCAAAACACCCCCCGCGGCACCTCACGAGAGGTCTCAAGGACCGTCCAGCGGTGCGTCACGGAGTGCATTCGACTCGTGCTCGACGCCAGCGCCGCGCGCCGCCGCGCCCCCGGATGCGCCCGAAAGCCCATCACACGGCGCACCTCTGGACCGAGTTATCCGTGCGGAGGCCGCCGTCGCGCGACGAACGAGCGGTCGCTAGAGATGGCTCGTGAGACGCTCTCGCGAACGAAACCCGCCCGTCCGCGCGCGCAGCGCTGCCGCCGGGCGCCTGCGCTGGACCGAGGCCGCGCATGTATACCGCGAGGCCGTGCGAGGCACCGGTGCTCGTCGGAGGCGCCGGATGGCCGCGCGGTCACGGCTCGAGCGCCGTCGCGCGACGCGCCGGTTTCGGCGCCGGAGGCCCGAGCAGGCCCGCAGGGCGTCGGGCCGCCGCGGCGACGGCCCAGTGACCGGATACTATGATATGGCCGGCCTGTCGGCGACGCTCCGCGGCGCCGGGGCGCCGTGGTCGGCCGCGGCCGCGCGCCGACGCCTTCGGCCGCGAGCGCCTGCGGGAGCCGTCGGCGGCCAGCGCGTCAACGTCCGGCCCTCGCTGAGAGCACTTGCGGTCCGCGCACTCGATGTCGATGCTGACCGCTGCTCTGGACCGCCGAACGATCCTCGAGCCTGCAAAGGGTCGCCATACGGGGGTGAAACATGCCCATATAGTGACTTAAGCAGATTGTACTTGACGTCTCGATATGTCACTCCACGGCTGAAACCGCACCAAACTACGCCGTTTCGAGTTTCACGGACACGGACGGGACCAGACAGAGCCACCCACGTAACTTTCCCGCCGCCCCACGGCTAGCTGGCGTCGGTGCGTCGCGCACGTTGAGGTTGGTGTTTACCCTGGATTGTCCTGTAGAGCTCAAAGAGCTGCCGATGGCGGCGCGCGCGGCGGCCTGGGCTGCCGCGTTCGCGGCCTGCGTCGCCGGCGGCGTCAGACCCGCGGCGCCGCGGCGCGACCGACGCGCCGACGTCGACGTCAGCGCGGCCATGGAGCTGTTCCGACGCACGCGCGCCCGCGCGCCGCTCCTCGACGATTCCAAGACGCCGCGGCGCCTCGGGTCCTTCACGACGAACGTGAGCGTCGACGCCTTCGACGCGACCTGGGAACACGTGCGCAACATCGTCGAGGCCATCCTCGTGAAGGAGGTCTGGATGACGCTCAAGAGCATGGTCACGTTCGCGGAGACGGCGGTCACGTTCCAGCTCCACGGCTACTGCGGCTCGGCGACGTCCCTCGACGACTACGACGCGCTCATCGACCCGGCCATGATGGCGCAGGCGGCCGTCGAGCGCCGGTCGCAGTGCAACGAGATCGGGCGCCAGCTCGTGTGGACGCAGCTCGAGGCCATCGGCCTCGACGCGTACTACGTGTGCCTCGCCAACGGCGAGTACTGGGAGTACACGAACGCCTTCTTCCAGGCGCACGCGGTCTACGGCGCGGCGCAGAACGTCACGAACGACCACATCTTCCACGGGGACTGCGCGGCGGCCTGCGCGGCGAAAAACGTCACGGAGTTCTGCTTCTGCTACTACGAGACCGACGCGCTCGGCGCGCCGACGGGCCTCTTCGAGGGCGACGCGCACGTCCAGGTCCGCGACTGCCGCAACTCCACGGTGTCCTACGCGGCGCCCATGGCCGCCGCGGCGCCGACGTGGAGCCTGCCGGTCTTCGGCGACTGCGACGGCTGCCCGGCCGAGGGCGCCATCGTCGCGGCGACGCGCCTCGCGGACGGCGGCGGCAACCCGCTGGGCGTCGTCGCGACGGACATGTCCATGGCGAGCTTCACGCGCTACCTGTCCTTCTTCACGTCGCTCTACGCGCCGCACGCGCTCACGTTCATCGTCTCGGGCGAGGGCGGCCGCATCGCCGCCGGCGGCTACCTCGTGGGCACGTCGGAGGGCGACCCTATCGTCGCCGTCGACGACGACGGCAGGCGCACGCGCATCCTCGCCGCCGAGTCGGCCAACGGCGTCGTCGCGGACGCCGTGGCCTTCTTCGCGGGCATGGACGACTACGTCGACGAGCGCGTCTACGTCCGCGACGGCGTCTTCGTGCGGGCCGTGGCGCTCTACATGGGCGAGCACCAGGGCGCCATCGACTGGCACATCGTCTACGTCCAGGGCGTGGCCTGCGCGGCCGGCGACGTCATGGACCCCGACCTCGAGCGGTGCGAGCCGTGCGAGTACCCGTACCTGAGCCGGGACCAGGTCGACTGCAACATGTGCCGCGAGGGCTACTACTACGTCCCCTGCGAGATCGGCTCGGCCTACGAGCCGGGCGTCGGCTGCGTGGCCTGCGCGGCGGGCGAGACGTGCCCGGCGGGCCGCGACGACGTCGGCGTCTGCGAGGCCTGCCCGTCGCGCGCGAGCTGCCCCGAGGGCACGGAGATCGGCACGCTGGAGCTCGACCGGGGCTGGTGGCGCCCGGACCGCGACGCGCTCGACTTCTTCAAGTGCGCGGTCCGCGCGGCGTGCGTCGGCGGCGCGATCGACGAGCGGGCCGTCGAGCTCTGCGACGGCGCGTACAAGGGCCGGCTCTGCAGCGTCTGCCGGGGCTACGCCTGGAAGACCATGGGGGGCAAGTGCCGGCCCTGCACGCTCCTCGACGCCGCCAAGTCCGTCGTCCTCTACTTTCTGGGCCTCGTCGCCGTCGTCGTGCTCCTGCTGTCGCTCTCGGTGACGGAGCTGCCGGGCCACGCGGTGCGGAAGCGCCGCAAGGGCGTGCTCGTCGCCGCCGCCTCGGACGCCGCCGAGGACGCCAAGACGGAGGAGGACGCCGCCGAGGAGGACGCGGCCGAGCCGGCGGACGACGCGGGCGTTCCGGCGACGGCGCGCTACGTGCGGCGCATGCTCGACGTGATCAAGCCGGCGCCCTTCGCCCGGACGATGCGCGCGTTCCGGCCGCCCGACGCCGCCGTCTCCGCCGCGCGCCTCGAGGAGCTCTACCGCGTCTTCGAGCGGCCGCTGCCGGCGAACGGCGCGTCGACGGCCGAGCAGGAGCAGCGCGTCCGCGTCATGCGGCTGACGACGAAGCTCCGGCTCAAGTGGAAGTCGCTCTTCGTGACCATGCAGATTCTGGGCACGACGGCGGTCAACGCCTTCTCCTGGCCGCCCATCTTCGGCACGCTCGTCAACATCGCGAACGTGCTCAACAAACCGAGCTTCCTCGGCGCGCTGACGTGCGCCGTGGACCTCACGCCGGGCCGCATGACGTTCTACAGCGGCTACGTGGCGACGACGCTGGGCCCCATCGTCGCCATCGCCCTGTTCTGGCTCGGCCTGCGCTACGGCGCGTCCGAGCGGACGCGGCGCCGCTACAGCGCGACGGCGTTCGCCGTCGTCGTCGTCTACTGCATCTTCCCGGGCGTCTGCTCGCTCGTCGTGCGCTACTGGCGCTGCCGGAGCTTCATGGAGGCCGGGAGGACGTACCTCGTCGACGACCTGAGCATCGCGTGCGCGGGCGGCGTCTACCGGACCTGGGAGGTCTACGCGGTGCTCATGGTCTTCGTCTGGCCCGTCGGCGCGCCCCTCTTCCTCTACGCGCTGTGCTGGCGCCACCGGAACCGCATCGACCCCTTCGGGTTCCACAAGGGCGTCGACCTCGAGCGGGCGGCGCTCCACCTCGGCGTGAGCCCGCGCGAGCTCCTCGACCGCGCGGACGCGATCCGCGAGAACGACCCCGTCATCGGGCCGACGCGCATGATCTGGATCCCCTACGAGCCCGAGTTCTGGTACTTCGAGTCCCTGGAGACCGTGCGGCGGCTGGGGTACACCGTGGCGTCGGCCGTGATCCCCGAGGGCGGCATGCTCCTCGTGCTCCTCGTCTTCCTCACGTGCGCGTCCCTGAAGGCCTACGGCGGGCTCCGGCCCTTCGACGACGACTCGGACAACCTGCTGGCGGAGAACTTGAGCTGGCTGCTGCTGGCCATCTACCTCATCGCCATCGCGTGCGTGTTGCGGGACGACGAGACGTCCTGGGGCGTCGACGTCTGCCTGAACTCGCTCGTCGCGCTCGCCTTCGCGTACGGCATCGCCGTCGTCGCCGCGGACCTCACGCGGGAGCGGAAGATCGTCGCGATTATCTGGCGGCGGGCGCTCAAGGCCGGGCCCTACCTGCTCGGCCGCCTCCGTCGAGCGCGGGTCCTCGAGCGCGGGTCCGTCGACAGCGCCGAGCGCCGGGACCTCGAGCCCCGGGACCTCGAGCGGACGCGCGAGGACGAGCCCGCGGCGGAACCCGAGGCCGGCGCGCGGCCCGCGCTCCGCCCGGAGTCGCCGACGTGCCTCGGGACTGCGAATCCGCTCGAGGAGGCGGAGACGCCGCGAGCGCCAGTGGCGTAAGCTCCTAGGATATCGATCGCGCGCGCGCGGTGCCCCGGACGCTTCCCCGGGCCATCGCGGGAATGGACATTACTGCGGGTGCGAGGACGGCGGGCAGAAACAAAGCGCGGTGGGATGGACGGCGGGCCGACCGCCGGCGACCCTCGGCGACGCCGCGCTCTACATGGCCTTGGCCTTGGCGCCCTCGTCGAGGAGCTCCGCGAGGTGCGCGTGGCGGCGCTTCATGTCGAAGCCGTAGGCGTAGTTCTTGTCGGTGTCCGTGACCTCCTTGGGCATGTTGGCGGCCATGAAGGGGAGGATGACGAACTTGCCGAAGATGGAGTAGACGAGGTTGTCGAGGACCATCATGAGGCCCGCGAAGGGCATGAACGACGTGAACTTGCTCTCGGGGAGGTAGTTCTGGAACATGCCGCCGTGCTGGCTCTTGACGTAGGCGTAGGCCTCCTTGGGCCGCGCGTGGGGCCCCGTGAGGCGGTAGGCCTGGGGCAGGAAGGGGCCGACGTACATCTTGTAGAGGAAGACGGGGTCGAGGATGTGGCGCCAGGGGTTGATCGAGCAGCCGATGTCGAGCGCGATGGAGTCGAAGAACTGGGACTGGCTGAGCACAAGCGTCTTGATGTCGGGCGTGTAGGCGAAGGCCGCCTCCTCGAACTTCTTCATGCGCGCGGTCTGCTCGACGACGTCGTCGGGGAGCTTGCAGCGGCCCGAGACGACGGCGGCGTAGTAGCGCGCGACCATCTCGGAGCAGGCGGGCACGCCGCCGGACGTCGGGCGGACCCAGCCGACGTAGGCGAGGTTCGGCGCGTCGAGGCGGATGCAGTGGCGGTACATGTTGCGCACGTTGCCGTCGGGGAAGACCTGGAGCTTCGGGTCCGTGAAGAACTGGAACTGGTCCTTGTAGCCCGTGCAGAAGACGATGGCGTCGCAGTCGACGGTCTCGCCGCTGCCGAAGGTCACGGAGTTGGCGTTGATCTTCTCGAGGCCCGACGCCTTGAGCTGGAGGCTGCCGTCGATGATCGCGGGCATGAACGACGCGTTCTTCGTGAGGAACTTGAGCGGGTGGCGGAGCACGCCGCCGAAGTAGTTGCCCGCGTTGATGCGGTGCCAGGCCTCGAAGTGCTCCTCGATGGCCTCGTCGGCCTCGGCCTTGACGTCGATCATGGAGTTGTTCTTCTTCGCCTCGCCCTCGTTGCCGATGCAGTTGGCGCCCGCGGTGTAGTCGCCCGTGACGAGGTGCTTGAGCCGCGTGACGATGCCGTCGTAGATCTTGATCTTGAGGAACATGCCGAAGACGAGGCCCGAGCAGACGCTGTTGATGGCGATGCTCGAGAGCTTGCCGCAGCCCCAGAGCTTCTTCTCGAGGCGCGGGTCGTAGCAGACGCCGAACTTCTCCGCGACGGCCGTCGTGTACGCAAAGTGGTGCGCGCGGAAGGTGAAGGCGTCCGTCGGGTCCTTGTAGTTCGGCAGGCGCGGGATGATCGCCGGCAGGCTCCGCACGCAGGCGTAGGCGTTCTTCGCGACGGACGCGACCTCGCGCGCGAGGTCCGCGCCGCTCTCGCCGAGGCCGATGACGACGACGTTCTTGTCCTTGAACTGGTCCGGCCGCTTGTACTGGGACGCGTGGACGAGCTCGCCCTTGAAGTCGCCGATGCCCGGGAAGTTGGGCACCTTGGCCGTCTGGAAGTTGCCCGACGCGACGCAGACGCCGTCGTAGAGGCCGCTGTGCTTCGTGCCGTCCTTCGACGTGGCCTCGACGAGCCACTTGTCGCCGGCCTGGAGCTCGACCTTGTCCACCGTCGTGCTGAAGCGGATGTGCTGGTCGAGCTCGTAGTTCTTGCAGTAGTCCTGCAGGTACTTGAGGTACTCCTCGTGCGTCCAGTACTTGGTCTCCGTCGACGGGAAGTCGCTGAACGCCATGAGCATGGACGAGATCGTCAGGATCACGCTGTCGTAGACGCCGTTCTTGTCCTCGCCCCAATTGAAGATGCCGCCGACGCGCGCCTCCTTCTCGAAGCAGACGACCTACGGACGGGCGACGGTCGAGGGCAGCCCCACCATGTTTTTTTTCCCGGGAGACGCCGGTCGCGCGCCTCGATGCCCTCGTTGAGGAGCTGGACCATGCCGGCGAGGCCGGACGTCCCGCCGCCGATGACGCAGACTTTCTTCCCGCAGCTCATGGTGTCGTCGATCCTCCCAAAGGCGCGAGGCTGGCGGTCGTGTGCGATGACGACGCGTCGAGGTGGAAAAAGAAAAAGAGGCAAACACCAGCTGATTGCATTCTTCAACAAAGGCAGCCCTCGTGCGAAATGGTACGAAGATGAAATACGGTGCCGTGCGCCGGACGCTGGGCCTGTCGAAGGCGCCGTGGCTCATCCCCGACATCGCCATCCTCGTCGACGAGTACCTGCAGCCCAACGCGGCGCTCGCGCGGCAGATCCTCCTCCTCGACATCTACGTCCACTCGCTGTCGCATCCCGACGACTCGGACTCGGACTTCGACATACCCGGGCTCATCGAGGCCGCCCCCTCGGACGACGACATGCCCGCGCTCGGCTCGGACGACGACGACGACGACATGCCCACGCTTGTCCCCATCCCCGACGCCCTCCGCTGATGTGCGCCCATCCCCGACGACCTCCGCTGACGCGCGCGCGCCGCGTGCTCCTCGCGGTCGCGGCCGCCGCCGCCGCGCGGCGGCCGAAGACGTCCGCGCGCTGCGCGTCGGTGCGCCCGCGGCGCGTCGTCATCGTCACGCAGCGCCGGTCCGGTTCCGGGTTCGTCGTGTCCATGCTCGGGTCCCACCCGTCCGTCGAGGCGGGCAACGAGCTCCTCTCCGCCGCGCACCAGGACCACGCGTCGACGCTCCGCGCGTGGGCGTCGCGCTGGCCCGGGAACCGGTCGCGGACCGACGCGCTCTGGCGCGAGGCGAACATGTCGCCGACGCGGCCCTGGCCGGCGAACGCGACCGGAGCGCCCAAGGCGACGGTCTTCAAGTACATGGTCGAGCCGGGCAAGGCCGTCGACGGCGCGCTCCTCGACGAGTTCGAGCGGCTGTGCTTCGGCGTCGTCTTCCTCTGGCGCTGGAACGCGCTGCGCATGTACGTCTCGGACAAGGCGAACCACGCGGACCGCGCCGCGTCGCGCAAGAAAAAATCGACGCACGACCACCAGGCGCACCCGCAGGACGCGGAGGCTCTGGCGTTCCACCAGCGCCACCAAATCGAGCTCCTCGCGGACGCGCGCCTGAAGCGGCACCTGCTCACGATCCTCTCGAGCCGCCGCGAGGCGGCGGACGCGTGGAAGGAGCGGTCGCGCGACTCCTTTTCGGTCTACTACGAGGACCTCGTCGCCGGCGCGAAGCTGGGCAACATGATGTGGACCGAGCTCCAGTACTTTCTGGGCGTCTGGCCCCGGGTCCTGTCCACGGACCTGCTCCCCATCCACGCGGACATCCCGCTCAACTACACCGTGCTGAACTACGCCGAGGTCAAGGTCGTCCTCCGCCACGCGTCGAAGAAGGAGCTGAAGAAGTACCTCCGGCCCTACGACCCCGAGGGCCACGACGCGACCAAGCTGATTTAGGTGGGTAAAGTTGTTTGTTTCCGGGGGGCTTCACCTTCTGCCACGTTTGCCCTCAACAAATCGACGCAGTGCAAGCTCTTATGGGAGTGACTGGATCAGCTCCAACACAACACTCAAGCTCGACAATGCGGCGCTCCTCCATCATCGCGCTCGCGCTCGTCGCCACCACAACAGCCCTCGTGCCCATCTCGCACCGGCCCGCGCTGCGGCGCCTGCGGTCCGCGACGCCGCGCACCTCCGCCGCACCCAGCTCCACGGCCCGCTTCGCCGCCCACGACGACGAGTCGCCCGAGGCCCTGCTCGCCCAGGCGAACGCGCTCCGCGCCGAGGCGCAGGCGCTCGAGTCGTCCATCCGCGAGGAGCAGGAGGCGACGCTCCAGCAGGCGCTCGACGCGGCGTTCGCGGCGGCCGACGCGAACGGCGACGGCGTCGTCACCGTCGACGAGCTCCGCGCCGCGCTGCGCACGGCCTTCGTGGCCGAGGCGGCGGACGGGCGGAGCGCGCGCAAGTTCGAGGCCCTGCTCGACGACGGCGACCGCCTCGAGCGCGTCGTCGCGTCGCTCGACGACAACGGCGACGGCGTGCTCCAGCCGTCCGAGTTCGTGCCCCTCAAGGAGATGCGCGCGCGCCTCGAGGCCCAGTGGCGCGAGGACCGGTCCGCGGCCTCCAAAATCGCGTCAGCGAAGTCCGCCGAGGAGGACGTCGAGCGCACGCGGCGCGAGCGGCTCGACGCGTGGGAGGCGATCTCGAACAAGACGGACGCGCCCGCGCGCGCGCTGGCCGTCGGCGCCTACTTCCTCCCGGCGCTCGACATCCTCCCGCCGGCGCAGCCCGTCGACGACTTCATGGCCTCCGTGCCCGTCGACGGGCTCCTCGGCGTCGGCGCGCCGGAGCCGTCCGCGGTCGCGGCCGCGGCGAACGGCGCGCTCCGCGCGCTCGACAAGGTCGACGTCGCCTTCCACGCCGTGCCCTTCGGGGGCCTGCTCGCCTTCATCCTCCTGTCGAACCTGGCGTCGAACGCCGCCGCGCCGCGGTTGGCGAGGTTCGCGGCGCGCCACGCGATCGTCATCGACCTCGCGTCCGCGGTGGGCCTGCCGCTGCTCCTCGTCAACGACGCGTCGGCGCCCTACGCGCGGCCCCTCTTCGCGTCCATCATCCTCGTCTCCGTCGTCGCCTCGGCCCTCGGCGTCGAGCCGTCCTTCGCGCCGGGCACGGGCCAGCTCACGAAGAAGTTCACGGACGACTTCGAGGCCGTCGTCAAGCAGGTCATCTCCGCGACCGTCGGCACGAACCCCGTCAACCTCGTCGATCTCCAGGAGCCGCCGAAGGACGACGACAAAGACGAGAAACAAAAGTAAAGGGGGCTCTAGTGGCTGACGCAGAGGCTCTACTTGAGGCTATAGGCCCGGGCAATGAGAAGCAAAAGTAAAGGAGGCTCTAGGCCCGGGCGATGACGCGCCGGTCGACGTCGGGGCTGCCGGCGATCGTCGCGAGGGCCGGCGCCGCGGCGGAGCCGCGCCGCGCGCCGGCCGCGGAGGACGGCCGCGACGCCCGGCCGCCGCCGGCGGGGGGCGCGTACTCCGCGCGCGCGTCCCAGGCGCCACAGGTCGCGGCGACGGCGCGGATGCCGTCGACGACGCCCATGACGCGGCCCATGGCGCCGGCGTCCGTCGCGTCGAGGGGCTTGCCCACGCGGTGGAGGCAGAGCGCGCCGTCCCCAAAGTGTTGGTCGACGATGGGCACGCAGACGCAGCCGGCTTCGGTGACCGTCGCCTGGAGCGCGACGGCCTGCGCGGCCACGCGACGCATCGCGTCGAGGAGCGGGTCCGGCGGCGGCGAGCCGCCTCCGGACTCGTCGAGGTCGCGGGACGAGGACTTGGCGCGGCTCCGCTCGCCGGAGCCGCGCGGCGCGGCCGCGACGTCGCGCGCGGCTCCGGCGGCCGCGACGTCCTCGAAGTCGCGGCTGTTCTCGCGCGACCGCCGCCGCTCGCGGCCCTTCGGGTCGACCTCTTGGTAGGACGGCCGGCGGTCGCGCTTCGCGACGCTCGCGTCGGCGACGAGGCGCAGGTCGCCCCCGGCGTCGACGAAGAGGCAGGCCCGGCCCGCGCCGAGCACGTGCTCCGCCGCGAGCCGCGTGAGCGCGGCCGCGTGGCCGTCGGTCCGGAGGCACTCCTCGGTGACGGCCCGCGACCGCACGGCCTCGAGGACGCGGCCCCGCGCGTGCTCCGCGAACCTGCGGAACCACTGCTCGCGCGTCGCCGCGTCCGCGTGCGTCAGGTACGTCGCCTCGGGCGGCGGCGGGAACGTGTACATGGGGTCGTAGGCCTCGAGGAGCTTCTCGAGGCCGCCGATGAGCGCCTGGGCGCGGCTCTTGAGCTTCATGGCCGCGCAGACGACGTCCCGCAGGTCCCGCTTCTTCGACGACTGCGACTCCATGACCTCGCCGACGACGCGCCGGAAGAGGTCGCCCTTGCCCTCGGTTCCCGCCGTCTCGAACTCGCTCAGCGAGTGGCGCTTCTCCCGCTTCTCCCGCTTCCGCTCCTGCTTCGCGCCGCCCCGCGCGGCGGCCGCCGCCGCGAGCGGGTCCAGGAGGGCGCCGACGGACCCGCTCTGGATGATGGACGCGGGGCCCGACGCCTGCGTCATCGGCGGCACGTCGCTCAGGGACCGCCGCCGCGAAGGCTTGGCGATGGCGGGCAGGGACATGGGATCGGCGCGCGGCGGCCCCTACGGCCCCATCATCTCCCCGCCGGTTCGCGGCAGCCCCCGGGGGGCTGAGCTCCGCGGAGTGGCAGCATTACGAGTAGCGCGGCAGAGCGGCCGTGGGCTGCCTTCCTCACTAAGAGCCACCAACTCCGTCGCGATCATTGCGAGTCGATGCTGCCGAGGCGCCCAAGGCGGCGCGCCGGCGGGCTAGCTCGTCTAATGCGCTAGAGAGAGAGGTGCACGTTGCGCGGGTGGCGCGTTCTCGCGCTGCCGCACGACGATGCGCGCGTGCTTCCGGCATGCGAGCAGGCACGCGCCGCGCCGCACGACGAACCGCGCGCTGCGCCGCGCCGCGCGACCGCTGAGCGCGTCGTCGGAGCTGCTGCAGCGGGCCATGTGCTTCTCGCTGTCGAACAAGGACCTCGCCGACGTCGTCGACCTCGTGCGCGTCGCGTCGGGCAAGCAGGAGCAGCCGAGCACGGAGCTCGCGCCGGAGCCCTTCGAGGTCGAGGCGACGGTCAACGTGCCCGTGCTCAGCGAGGCCGGCGCGGACGCGCCGCTCTTCCAGTGCACGCTGTTCCGCTGCGTCGCCGCCTACACGGGCTGGCACACGAAGTACGAGAGCGACGCGCTCGCGCTCGCGGACGGCGTCGTCGTCGCGCTGTCGGCGCCCGTGGACGGGCTGACGCGGGTGACGGGCTTCGACCTCGTCGAGCAGCTCTACGCGCGCGCGGCGTCCGAGCCCGTGCTCGGCCTGTCGCTCGACCCGCTGCCGGACGCGCCGGACCTCGTGCTCGGCGAGGACGGCTACGAGTCGAGCCTCCTCGAGTTCTTCTCGCGCGTCGCCAAGGTCGAGGCGGCGCTGAGCGACTGGGGCATCATCGCGCGGGCGATGCAGGAGACGGGCGGTGGCCCGCCGGGCATGGACGAGACCGCGACGAAGGAGCGGCTGCTCTGGTCCGCCGTGTCGATCCTGCGGCGCCACCCGGACTACTGGATCCTGAAGACGACGGACCCCGAGGGGCGGCCCGTGGCGATCCAGTCCGAGGGCTGGCTCTTCCTCTTCACGTCGCCGGACGTCGCGCTCCGCCACGCCCTCGACGCGCGGGAGTCGGCCGAGGGGCTGCCCGCCATGGAGCCCCACCGCTTCTCGTCGAAGATGGTGCGGGACCACGCGCACTCCGCGCCGGCCGGCGAGCTCGCGGGGCTCTGGATCAATCCGCCCGCGAAGCCGCCGCCGAACCCGACGCTCGCGGGCGTCAAGCTCACGAGCGACCAGCTCCGCGACTGGTACGGCCTCGTGGACCTCTACGGCGACAAGCTCCCGGCGGGCTGGTAACTTAGTCCGACGTGTCCGACTCGGGCGTGTCGCTCCAAGCGCCCGGCGGGCTGGTAGCTTAGTCCGACTCAGGCGTGTCGCTCCAAGCGCCCGGCGGGCTGGTAACTTAGTCTTAGTCCGACTTGTCGCTCCCCCGGGACGCGTCGTCGTTGCTCAGGCGGCGGTTGCGGCCGCGCGGCGGCGTGCCGCTCCGGCTCCGGGACCGGCCCTTCTTCGAAGGCGGCGGGGAGCCGTCGGGGCTCGCGCTCCGGCCCCGGTAGCGGTAGGGCGACGGCGACCGGTCCGCGGACCGCGACCGCGACCGCGACCGGTCCGCCCGGTGCCGGCGGTACGTCGGCCGCCCCGACGGCGACGCGGACAGGGACCGGCCGCGGCGCGGGCCGTCGCCCCGGCGCCCCGGCGGCGAGTCGGACGCGGACCGGCGGCGGCCGCGGCGCGGCGCGAGCGGCGACCGGTCGCGGCGCGGCGGGCCCCGGTCCCGCGAGCCGCCGCGGCGCCGCTCGAAGGTGCGCCCCCACTCCGTCGGCGGCGGCCCGCCCGGCGGCCGCCGCGGCGGCGGCTCGTAGCGGCCGCCCTTGCCGCGGCCGCGGCCGCGGCCGAAGCCGCCGTCGCGCGACCAGTCGCCGCGGCCGCCGAAGTCGCGGCCGAAGTCGCCGCGGCCGCCGCGGCCGAAGCCCTTGCCGCCCCGGCCGCGGCCCCAGCGGCCGCCCTTGCCCTCGCCGGGCGGGATGTAGGGCTCGGGCTTCTCGGCGTACTTGGCGACCTTGTCGTACATGTCGTTGGCCCAATCGCCCTCGTCGCGCGCGATCTGCTCGTACTCGGCGGCGACGTTCGCGTCGTAGATCTCGTCGGGGTCGTCGGCGTGCATGCCCATCCTGGAACCCTTCGCGTTCGGGCAACGCCGGCAGGTTAGCACGCACTCGCTGGTTTGCGTTCGGGCCGGCGCGACGCGCTCGCGGCGAGGCTGCCACAGACTTGCTCGGCGGCTCTTCAACGTCTTCGACGATCTTATCTCGAGGACATGTTGAAGCTATTGAGGTTCATCCTACTTTTCACAAACCGCCGCTCAGCACCACGGGCTCAACGCAACGAGCCCAGGCACCGCCCGTCCCGGGGCCAGCGCCGCGCGGGTTCGCCATGCCGTTCCTCGACTACCTCTTCGACGACGAGGGCCCGCAGCCCGACGCGAAGATGCGCGGCTGGCTGAAGAAGGCGAAGCGGACGCGGTCGTCCTTCAGCTCCTGGAATCGCCGGTGCGTCCCCCCCCCCCCTCGTCGCCGCCCCGAAACCCGCCCCCCCCTCCGACGCGCCCCGCCCCCCAGGTTCTTCACGCTGGACATGGAG